GTCAGCAATGAAAAGGCTTGGATCCCCTTCCTTAAATAACGGTATGACCTTTGCAACTTTCAGGTCGTAGTGATAATTACAAGAATCAAAAATTATTCTTCTTCTTATTATTATTATTAAATATTTCAGCCCTTATGTCAGTGTTTCCACGGTGATTGACATGCGATAATTCACAACCATTCGGGGAAAACTACCCTAAAAAGTAAATTTGCTTATTTATACAAAATATGTCAATATTAAAAATAATGAAGACCACTTGCTAATAGATATGAAAAGGACCCTCCTGAGTCTTGTCCTTGTGTTTAGTCTGTCTGATCTTCCTATTACCCACATCTCTTTAAAGGAATAGTTAAACGTTTTGGAAACACTCTCTTTCTCTCTGGGAGATGAAATGATTGATCTGGAGTCAGGTTGTGGTTAGCTTAGCTTAACATACAGACTGTAAGCAGGGGGAAGGGTGTTTCGGGTCTTTCCAACATCATACACCTCACTCACCAAGCTGAGGTTGATCAAGCCTCAGCTTGTGCACTAGTAGCAATCTCCCACGGATCAGGAAGTCCTGATGTTGATTTAGATGTTGTTGTTGTTGGCTTCTCTCCGGCCCTGATGAAGCTGATGGTTTGCTTCTTTGGTTTTGACCTCCGACAGCTGGCAATGTCACTACAGATGCTCTCAGAGATGTTCTTGAGCACCTGATCATGACGCCAGATGTATCGACCTTCCCCCAGAGCCTTAGGGCAGCAACTCAAGATGTACTCGAGATGTGCTGCACCCCCCACCATTTCCGGTGGTCTTCAGCACTACAGTGGCAGATAGTTCACCTCAAAGTGGCCGCTGAAACTGTCCTCCCTCCCCCGCCCTCTACGAGTCGTACCCCACAACTATCTCTGCTATTCTTTTGGGGGCTCACGCGGTACACAAAGTAATCCTTGGTCACACCAAAACACTCTCATCGCACTATTCAGGACGGTGCAGTTCAAACCTCACCACTTCGTTCATCCCTGCCTCTCGTCGACGATGCATCACTGATCATCTTTACCACGCTTACTCGGTTCTCAAATCAAAACATCCACCATCCACACATACTTTAGCAAATAAACCCCTTCATTAGACTCCTTTCAGGGCTCCTGCCTCTTCCATCTCTTACCCCCGCATCCACGCGTGGCTGGGCCGTTGAGTCTCGACCCCCGGGTTCCTAGCCACTCCGGCCACCACAACCCAGATCAACCCCCTTCCTCCCTACCTTCTCGACCCCTTAATCCCAACCCTACCTCGGTCAGCCTAGGCCTTTCTGTGCGGAGGTTTGCACGTTTTTCCCGTGTTTGCATGGGTTTGTCATGAGTTGGTGTGTGGTTGTGAAGTGGAGGATTGGCGTCCTTTAATGTTGTGGAGCAGTGGTCCAGTGTGTTAGTGTCCCTGGTGGGACACTTAATATGCTGTCTGTACTTTGGAAGTTCATGGCTGAGGTTTGATTAAAGTCCCCAAGAACAATGAGCAGGGAGTCTGGATGTTTTTTCTCCTCGTTAGTTATCTTTTCTGCCAGGTGTAGTAACGCCTCACTAACACAGGCCTGAGGTGGAATGTAAACAGCGACCAGAACAAACGAGGAAAACTCCACGGTGAATAAAACGGTTTACAGTTTTGTTAAGGGTTTGTTAAGGAGCGGTGGAATAGTGTGAGCTGTTGAAGGTCCAATATTTAAGAGCTCTTCTCTGGTAAATGTTAACAGAGAGGGACGACAGAAAACAGTGTTAATAAACAAAAACACACAAAGCACTACGGAGAGTAATCTAGAGGTGGCACCATCTTAATATTTATCTATCTATATGATATGTTTAATCCCTGTGTCCTGGGTCTACCCCAGGGTCTCCTACTGGGTGGATGTGCCTGGAAAACATCTAAAGGAAGAATTCCAAGAGGATCCTGATAAGATACCTGAACCACCTCAACTGTATATATATATATATAGTATATGCCTGCTTGTGTCTTCAGTCTTTGTTACGTCTTTGTGTCATATGTTGAGTGTTCTTGCCTGTTCCTTGTTCTTTGAATTTCTCTGCCCGTGCTCTGGATTCTTTGGTTTGTTGGATTACTTCAGTTTTGGTCATTGCCTTGTGCTTGATGTACGCCTGTTTTGTTCAGTTTTGTGTTTAATAAATGTTTTTGAACTGCATCCTCGCCTTTTGGTCTGAATTTGGGTCCACACCTCAGTCTTCACTCAGCCAACCCATGACATTACTAATATCACAGAGTACGGTCTAGACCTGCTGAGTACTATGATATAACTGTTGTTGTGAATTGCCGACATATAATCCATCCATCCATCGTCAGGTTCGCGGAGGGCTGGAGCCAATCCCAGCTGACATCGGGCAGAGGTCGCCAGTCCGTCGCAGTGTACTAAATTATGGAATAGCTTTTCCCACCTGGCATCTAACTCCTCCTCATTAAAATGTTACAGAAGATATTTAAAAGCCCATTTTTTTTAGTTTTAAAATTTCTTATATAGAAATGAGATTACTTTTATTCTATGTTCATATTTTTGTTCTTATATTTCTGTTATTGTCATTAAAATTAATTTGTTGATGTTATTTATATATTTTTTTCTATTATTAGTTTGTCATTACTTTATGTAGTAAAATTTTTTTTTCGTACATTATTTGTTTTGTTTTTACTTTGATTATGTGTATAGGTGGAGGCATCAAATAAGCCCATTTGGGGTTTTTTTGCCTTTTCCCACACATTATTTAATTTGGTAATTCTTGCCTTGGTATTTTTTTGTTTATTATTATTTGTTTTTATTGTTATTGTAATTTTTATGTAATTTTAACTGCACAAAATGCAGTAAATCAAAAAATCTATTCTAATCATACCAAGACCAGACAAAGATCCCAAATTCCTGGACAACTGAAGGGAGTAAAACTTTTAAACAATGAGTGCAAATTGCTAACACATATTCTCAAATAGTCTAAAAGAGGGTCTCACTCAAATAATAAGTGATGGATTTATGAAAGGTACAAATACACAATAACGGCCGCCTTGTCCTTGTTTTACTTTGTTACAATGAGCATATAAATAACGATGATGGCTTTGTTCTCTCTTTGGATTCTTATAAAGCATTTTACACGGTTAAACACTCCTTTATTTTCAGGGCTTTGGAACTCAGTGGCTTTAGGGAGAAATTTAGAAACACTACAAAATATTTTAGAAGGACACCAACAGCTCAGTGTCTCTCTCAGGTGGCACCACCCCTCGCTTCGCTATCAACAGAGGTATAAAACAATCCTGCCCCATCTCACTTTCACTCTTCACAGCTGAAATGCTGTCAGTCCTCATCATAAACATTAGACATTGAACAAATATGTCTTTTATTACCAAATAATTATAAGTCAGCTGGCTGACGACACAGCCTTGTTTCTTAAAAATGTTGAGCAGGCAAAGGCTACTGAAATTACAGAACTGTGTGAGTTATTAGCTAAACATGACTGCCACCGTGAGGCAGCAACTGGTATCCTTATTAAAACTACAGTCAAATACTCAGGTACACATATCACCAAACATACTAAGTTAAGTGAAACCTTAAATGTATGACAGATGGTTAAATAATCTTTCTCTTTTTGGTCGCATCTATATAACAAAAATTGAAAGCCTTTTAAGATTGTGGTGTCTGAACAACCACCAATCACTACTCTCCCCTTAGGTCACTGACCCTCTGTCCTGCTGCTACAGTGCTATTTTAAACTGTTATGAGTCAAATGCACATATATTATACACCACAAGATGCATTTAATCAGCCTATTCTCTGTTTATTCCCAACAAAGCTACTAAAGCTATCAATACAATAAACTTTGATTACATCTGGAAAAGAAAACCTCACTATCTGAACTGTAGTGAAAGACTATGAAGATGGTGGACTTCAAGCCACAGACTTTGACTGTATACATGGAGATCCTTTCTAGTAAACAGTGGTAGTATTTGGCGTTTCCAGGCATTTAACAGGATTTGAGGTATTGATTTAATTTTACGCTGTGACTTTGATTTTCCAAAACTATATCTATAAAACTGTCTGCATTACATTCACAAGTGCTGTTGTATTGGAAATTACTGTACAAACACATTTTTACTCCCCCTGATGTAGGCTACCCATTAGTGCAGATTTATTCTCTTTAGAAATAAGTCCCCGTATTTCAATGAATGGATGGAAAACAACATTTGGTCTGTCAACAATTTACTAGACACATATGGAAATTATCTGGTGAAAATTTTATTTTCAAATCCTTTAAGAGAACTCCTCACAGGAGGAATAATTTTGATCAAAATAACTGTATATTATGTGATGAGGAGGACATAGACACCACGGACCACTTGTTTTCCTTCTGCCCGTACAGCTGATGATACACGGGGCAACTCATTGAGCAAACTTGCTGGTGGCAAGTCCGACTATGTTTTCAACGGACAGCAACATGACAGCAACATTGTCCAGCATCGTTGCTTTAAAAGTTGCTCCGTGTATCATCAACGTTCTCCTGTCACATGATTGGCTGGAGCCTACTCTCCAGTCTCCCTTCAGTTTCACTAGACACATCACATTAGGAGTTATAATGAAGAGCAACAACTATGAACTGCTTCTAAATAGCCTACTTTAATTATCTTGGTATCTCATCCACGAATGTAAATGTATAAAAAACAGCCTTTATTTACTGTCTTCAAAAAAATTTATTTGCACAAATCCCTGTATGAAATAGAAAAAATGCCTTAAAATTAACTGAAGTCCCTTTACCACTTGTTAGTTTGTTTATTTTCGTTTTTATTTTGTCATTTTCTTCTCTACTGTGTGCTTTGTTTCTTGTAAACAACAACACCGTTGCAACCGTTCATTGTGCCAAATATTGTTGAACATTTTATAGCCTATATAAAAATAAAAACAAATACCCCTATGGGGAATTCAGTAACACCAAAGAGGCCAGTTATGCCGTCCCTCCCGCTAGAAAGCCAATCTGATCTGCTTTGACCAAACAGTCTATATCTTTGGCTTTGACCAAACTACAGCTACAGAGCAGGAAGAAGAACTCAGTCTGGTCTCAGCTCCATCAGCTGCTGCATCTCTGCTGTCATGTTCACTTTAACATCAGAGCTGCTCCTTACTTTGTTCGCAAGTTCATGGATCTTTGTTCTGTGTCAAGGTAAGAGGAGTGAGTGTGCCATGTGCTTTGGTATAAAGAGGAAGAAAGTTTTTGTTTTATACAACAGCATAAAACCCAGATATCAGAAGACGATGGTAGAACAGCTGATCCGCGGGAGTTTTCCGTATTTAGACAGATGTTGTTGCCACTCTGGGTAGACTGAGTTGGTACAGGGGTACAGTTGAAACACCTTAAATAACTCAAGTGCGCAACAAGACTGATCTGTGATTTTGGGTTTACACATGCATATTAGCGTCCTCTTGGTGGGACATTTGGAAGTATGCGCGTCTCCAGTCTGAAGATATCGGCGAAAGATTTTTTTTATATGACTTAGGCTACATTTCAGTAAACCTTAATCTGTGCTCTAAAAATTGACATATATTGCATGACTTTGTTTCATGATCGTCTTCAAATCTAAAGAAATGTTCGAGGTGGTCAGTAAAATCCTAATGAGGCACATGCTGTTCAGATGCACGATGTAAGATTACAGATTAACAGTTAATCTTGCTGTTTGCAATTGTTCAACGTTTTTTCTGATTAAAAGAAACTTTTTACCTGTTATTCAAATAGAACTGTTGCTTCTGTTATTTTTAACTTACTATTAAAATGATGAACTGAAATGCAAAAACGCTTCTTGTGTTTATGAGATAATTGCGGCGAAATATGAAATACTTTTGGATGTTATTGATTATTCATATTTTAGTAAACAAGTACAGGAAATATCATATGAAAAAACTTCTTTTCAGCCCAAAGTTTTGATGTGGTAATGGAAAAAGCAAAAAGTGTACCAACTGTATCCAGTCTACCTATTTCTTGCTCATTTGCAAACATAAATAAAACGGGTAGTTTTATATTAAAGCTGCAAGCAGCGTTGGGTGAGCCATCACGCCATGACAGCAGCCGGAGGTTGGGAGACGTGCCCTGAATTGGAGCACCTCTTGGACGGTCAGGAGGTATTTAAACGTCACTTCCTGTGTCCCCCAGGTGCCGCTAGACACCTCCCGCTAATTATATTTTGTACAGCAGTAAGTGAAGTGTGGACAACGCAGTGAAAATGCCATGTAAATCAAATTATTTTTGTCAGAAAAGGGCTTATTTCCTGTTACCAGTGGGTGACGCTATGATGTTGAGTGAATGTAGATGTATTCAGAGCGGGACTCTTATCAACCCTGTAAAGTTTGGTACAGATCTGAGCATGGACACTGATTCCAGCAGGTGGCGCTATGAGGTTGAGTGAATTTTGACCTGTAGATATGTTCAAGGCGTGACCCTTATTAAATGTATGAAATCTGGTAGAGATATGAGCATGTACAGTGAAATTTCAAGAACTTTGTGTGTCATGGCGAAGCATCGAACATTGACGCCATGCCAATGACATTCACATAGCATCATAAATGTCTTAAGGATGTTGTGAGACTGTTTCGATCAGGTGAGGCAAATATGTAGGAGTAGTACAGAACAGCATGAAACTTGACACTCCCGTTGCCAGCAGGTGGCGCTGTGACATTGAGTGTTTGTTGGCATATGGATGTGTTTAGGGCAGGACTCTCATCATACATGTACAGTTTGGTGCAGATATGATCACGTACACGGAAGTTATAACAACATCCTGTTTCATGGCAAATCACCAATTTTGAACGCCACGCCACGGACACGCCCATTGACAAAAACTCACAGATAGCACAACTTTTCATCGTCAATGCCTTTAGAAGGCACAGCAGAAATTTGAAGTAGATTGGATTAATTCCCTTGGAGGAGTTTGTTAAAGTACACACCCTGGAAACTGAGAAAAATGGGTTAAAATCACACATTCAATTCAAAATGGCTAAGTTCCTACTAGGTTTATGGTATGGGTTCTTGTGGCTTTTTTGTGTGTTTGATATGGTACATGTCCCCACAACGTAGGTTTAACTAGGTGCAGGAGCAAATTTTTAAACGAGATAACCACCTTTTTTTCGTTTGTCGTTTCAAACCAAAAACCAAGAAACGGAAAAAAAAGTTTCTGAATCGAAAAACGAAAACTGACTAAACCAAATTCAAACAACGGTCCGATTTTGGTTTTTTGAAATTCCTATTTTCATTTCTCCATTTCAAGATAGACTTAATAAAGACAGGTGAAAGACAAGGTCAAAGTTGATTAAAAAGCCAAAGTAGTCATCCATCTACATCCACTTATTCGGGGTCGGGTTGTGGGGGCAGCAGCTCCAGCAGGGGACCCCAAACTTCTCTTTCCCGAGCCACATTTACCAGCTCTGTCACATGTTTGCAGTAAAGTGAGTGCAATACCGCCCCCACTGCTCCGATTCTCCGGCCAGTCTCCTGCTCCAGTCTCCCCTCACTCGTGAACAAGACCCCGAGGTACTTGAACTCCTTCACTTGGGGTAAGGACTCATTCCCTACTTGGAGTTGGCACTCCACCAGTTCCCCGCTGAGAACCATGGTCTCAGATTTAGATGTGCTAATCCTGATCACAACCGCTTCACACTCTGCTGCGAACCAATCCAGTGAGAGCTGAAGGTCATGGACCGATGATGCCATCAGGACCATATCATCCGCAAAAAGCGGAGAGAGATCCCAAGCCCACCGAACCGCAGCCCCTCCTCGCCACGACTATGCCTCGATATCCTGTCCATGAATATCACAAACAGGATTGGTGACAAAGCGCAGCCCTGGCGAAGGCCAACCCTCACCTGGAAAGAGACACAGCTCTCGCTTTGGATGTACAGGGATTGGATAGCCCTGAGAAGGGCTAGCATTTCTGGGTGGTTCTCATCAATCCCTGGGGCGTTGCCACTGTGGAGTTGTTTGACTACCTCAGTGACTTCCTCCAGTCACATAATAATGAAAAATTCTTGCCTGATAATAGTTTCTTTAGCTGCCCATGACCTGTAGTAGCCTATTAACCCACATGTGCTGTTACCACCAGTAACTGCAGGTGTAACCTGCACAATAATGTTGAAAATACATAATAGCAGACTGTATTAAAAAAATGGTTAGTTTATATTTCCTGACGATCAGAATATAGGCTAATAAAAGCGTTATACTAAATATTTTGTGAAATTGAAAATTGCTAATTAAACCATAAAAAAAAGTCTGTCCCTCGCAGCGTTTGCTTAGAGAAATTCTGGCCCTTATTTTTCTTATTCTTTCCATGTTTTTGTGCAGACAATTTCTTTAGCAGACTTCTCTCTCTGGTGAATATAGTTTATATTATTTATAAAAATATACATGTACTTGGTAGAATTTGAAGCTGGATGTGTTTGTAACCTCCTGAAGTTTATTTTGACTGAACTAGTGAAAAGTGTCATCACCACATACGGGAATATTCAAGCTCTGTTCCTCTCCAGCACTGTAGTTTACTGTGTGGACGAATAGACAGCAGAGACCAACATGTGTCCTCTCCCCTCTCGTGGTGTCTGTCCATGCAGATCCAGCAGCTTCATTTGTCTCTCTGAGAAGTAAAGCAGTTTCATACTGTAGGGACTCGAACTCGAACTTGAAATGCTGCTGAGTTCACATGTGCTGTTTTATAGAGACCTGATCTCTGCTGCTTCCATCAAAAGATGTTTGAACAACAGGAAACATTACAAGTCCTGACTGGAGGCTTTTCTCTTTCTGTTCAGAGACACAGGAGGTGAAGGTGAAGCCTGGAGAGGACGTCACTCTTCAGTGTCAGAGTCACAGAGGTGCTGACATCTCACTGATAGGGTGGAGCAGAACTGACCTGAAGCCAGATGACAGTTTTGTCTTCCTCTTCAGAGACGGTGGCTCAAATGAAAACAACCAGCATCCATCTTTTCGTGGTCGAGTGAATCTGAGAGATCCAGAGATGAAGAACGGAGACGCTTCTGTAATTCTGAAGAACGTCGACATCAACGACACTGGAACATATGAGTGTCAGATTAGAGAAGGAAACAAGGAAGGCAAATCTGATCCCAGCAGCGTCATCAAGTTGACAGTGACAGGTGAGCGTGTAGAGCTCAGAGTGTCTCTGAGTAGAGCTCAACGTCTCTTTGTCTCTCAGGTGAGCACGTAGAGCTCAGAGTGTCTCTTTGTCTCTCAGATGAGCATGTAGAGCTCAGAGTGTCTCTGAGTAGAGCTCAACGTCTCTTTGTCTCTCAGGTGAGCACGTAGAGCTCAGAGTGTCTCTGAATAGAGCTCAGAGTGTCTCTTTGTCTCTCAGATGAGCATGTAGAGCTCAGAGTGTCTCTGAGTAGAGCTCAACGTCTCTTTGTCTCTCAGGTGAGCACGTAGAGCTCAGAGTGTCTCTGAATAGAGCTCAGAGTGTCTCTTTGTCTCTCAGATGAGCATGTAGAGCTCAGTGTCTCTCTGTCTCTCAGGTGAGCGTGTAGAGCTCAGTGTCTCTTTGTCTCTCATGTGAGCGTGTAGAGCTCAGAGTGTCTCTTTGTCTCTCAGGTGAGCGCGTAGAGCTCAGAGTGTCTCTTTGTCTCTCAGGTGAGCGCGTAGAGCTCAGAGTGTCTCTTTGTCTCTCAGGTGAGCACGTAGAGTTCAGAGTGTCTCTTTGTCTCTCAGGTGAGCGCGTAGAGCTCAGATTGTCTCTCTGTCTCTCAGGTGAGTGTGTAGAGCTCAGAGTGTCTCTTTGTCTCTCAGGTGAACGCGTAGAGCTCAGAGTGTCTCTCTGTCTCTCAGGTGAGTGTGTAGAGCTCAGAGTGTCTCTTTGTCTCTCAGGTGAGTGTGTAGAGCTCAGAGCGTCTCTCAGGTGAGTGTGTAGAGCTCAGAGTGTCTCTTTGTCTCTCAGGTGAGCGTGTAGAGCTCAGTGTCTCTTTGTCTCTCAGGTGAGCGTGTAGAGCTCAGAGTGTCTCTTTGTCTCTCAGGTGAGCGCGTAGAGCTCAGAGTGTCTCTTTGTCTCTCAGGTTAGCGCATAGAGCTCAGAGTGTCTCTCAGGTGAGCGCGTAGAGCTCAGAGTGTCTCTTTGTCTCTCAGGTGAGTGTGTAGAGCTCAGAGTGTCTCTTTGTCTCTCAGGTGAACGCGTAGAGCTCAGAGTGTCTCTCTGTCTCTCAGGTGAGCGTGTAGAGCTCAGAGCGTCTCTTTGTCTCTCAGGTGAGCGCGTAGAGCTCAGAGTGTCTCTCTGTCTCTCAGGTGAGCATGTAGAGCTCAAAGCATCTCTCAGGTGAGTGTGTAGAGCTCAGAGTGTCTCTCTGTCTCTCAGGTGAGCGTTTAGAGCTCAGAGTGTCTCTTTGTCTCTCAGGTGAGCGTGTAGAGCTCAGAGTGTCTCTTTGTCTCTCAGGTGAGTGTGTAGAGCTGAGAGCGTCTCTTTGTCTCTCAGGTGAGCGCGTAGAGTTCAGAGTGCCTCTCTGTCTCTCAGGTGAGCGCGTAGAGCTCAGATTGTCTCTCTGTCTCTCAGGTGAGTGTGTAGAGCTCAGAGTGTCTCTTTGTCTCTCAGGTGAGCGCATAGAGCTCAGAGTGTCTCTTTGTCTCTCAGGTGAGCGCGTAGAGCTCAGAGTGTCTCTTTGTCTCTCAGGTGAGCGCGTAGAGTTCAGAGTGTCTCTCTGTCTCTCAGGTGAGCGCGTAGAGCTCAGATTGTCTCTCTGTCTCTCAGGTGAGTGTGTAGAGCTCAGAGTGTCTCTCTGTCTCTCAGGTGAGCGTGTAGAGCTCAGAGTGTCTCTCTGTCTCTCAGGTGAGCGTGTAGAGCTCAGAGTGTCTCTTTGTCTCTCAGGTGAACGCGTAGAGCTCAGAGTGTCTCTCTGTCTCTCAGGTGAGCGTGTAGAGCTCAGAGCGTCTCTTTGTCTCTCAGGTGAGCGCGTAGAGCTCAGAGTGTCTCTCTGTCTCTCAGGTGAGCGTGTAGAGCTCAGAGCGTCTCTTTGTCTCTCAGGTGAGCGCGTAGAGCTCAGAGTGTCTCTCTGTCTCTCAGGTGAGCATGTAGAGCTCAGAGCGTCTCTCAGGTGAGTGTGTAGAGCTCAGAGTGTCTCTTTGTCTCTCAGGTGAGCGTTTAGAGCTCAGAGTGTCTCTTTGTCTCTCAGGTGAGCGTGTAGAGCTCAGAGTGTCTCTTTGTCTCTCAGGTGAGTGTGTAGAGCTGAGAGCGTCTCTTTGTCTTTCAGGTCAGCGTGTAGAGCTCAGAGTGTCTCTTTGTCTCTCAGGTGAGCGTGTAGAGCTCAGAGTGTCTCTTTGTCTCTCAGGTGAAGCTGCTTCCTGGTAGTTGAGCTGAGAAACATCACAGATCAGATGTTTGTGTTTTAGAAAGATGTTGCTGATGAGACTTTAGAGGAAACAGCTGCTACGAGTCATGTGATCAAAGTGCAGTAGATAATGTCTGACATTCTGTTCACCTGCTGACAGCTGATACCTCACACCTGTTTCTGCTCTGCAGGTCACACAGCTGGACACAAGGAGGGAGGAGACAAGGAGATAAATGTTGGACTGATGGTCGGTCTGCCAGTTATTGCTGTGCTTCTTGTTGCTCTTGCTGTTCATTTTATGGCCTAAAACAGTGATTCCCAAAGTTTGGTGCACACACCCCTTGGGGATGCGCGCCAGGAAAAATGTAATGGCGGTGTAATAGTGTAATAACTACAACAATTATTTTGTGGAATTTTTCATGAAATAAAAACCTGAATTGAAACTTTCAGTTGTAAATTTAATTTAAAATAAAAAACGTTAATAGTGTGCTGGGCATGTTAATACAGTAATTCATTAACAATTATTTTATCTCATGATAATGAAGTTTTTATTATTATTATTTTGAAAGTCTGTTGCTCACTGGCTATGGATACAGAAATAAATAAAAGACAAACAAAAGCAAAACAAGCGATCAAATGCCATAGTGGATAGCTACACACTGCATGCTGATTAGCATTGGGGAAGATATCAGTCTTCGGAACGTTCTTAAAATCATAACCTAGTCGCTTGGCCCCTCGGAGTCGCGGAGTGCAATAACATCTGGTTTGCAAACACTTTAAACAAATAATGTGCTTTTTACCAGCAGTATTCCCTTTACACAGAAGCAATAAAAAAATTATTTTAAATCTCAACTTAAACATTAATGTAATCAAATCAAATACAAAACCAAAGCTATTTGCCACTGCCAGGGCATTACCTTTTATTTTGCTTATTAAAAGTTAGAGTATAGAGCCACGATCATAACATCAGGTACCTTCTGCAACATGTTAACATAGAGCAGCATAAACGATAGTTACGTACTCTAACTTCAGATTCAATGAGTATAGGCCTGTACGAAATAGAACAGTCAATGTTCAGTAGCAAGTGTCCCATTAAGCTGCGGTCACACCGAAAGCGAATTTCATATTCACCTCGCTTTACTCGCACGAGTTTGACCGCAGGACATTTTGAGTGTTCACACACAACGCGTTTTAAGCGAATAATCACAGCCCACGGATTCTACTGCTACAGGTGAAACGCGAAAAATTAGCATATCGTGCAAATATTCATTTATTTCAGTAATTCAACTTAAAAGGTGAAACTAATATATTTTACTATACTATACTATAATATATTTTGATTATTGCGTACAGCTTATGAAAACACCAAATTCACCTGCAAAGGGTTCCTGTGCCTTTAATTAGTCTCTCAGTCTGGTTCAGTGGAAATCACAACATGGGGAAGACTGCTGACCTGACAGTTGTGCAGAAAACCATCATTGACACCCTCCACAAGGAGGGAAAAGCTAAAAAGGTAATTGCAAAAGAAGTTGGATGTGCTGTGTCAAGGCACATTAATAGAAAGTTAAGTGGAAGGGAAAAGTGTGGAAGAAAAAGGTGCACAAGCAGCAGGGATGACAGGAGGATTGTCAGGAAAAGGCCATTCAAATGTGTGGGGGAGCTTCAGAAGGAGTGGACTGAGGCTGGAGTTACTGCATCAAGAGTCAGCACACACAGACGGGTCCTGGACATGGGCTTCAAATGTCGTATTCCTCTTGTCAAGCTGCTCCTGAACAACAACGTCAGAAGCGTCTTACCTGGACTAAAGAAAAAAAGAACTGGTCTGTTTCTCAGTGGTCCAAAATCCTCTTTTCTGATGAGAGCACATTTTGCTTCTCATTTTCCAGCAGGACTTGGCACCTGCCCACACTGTCAAAAGTACCAAAACCTGGTTCAATGACCATGGGATTACTGTGCTTGATTGGCCAGCAAACTCGCCTGACCTGAACCCCATAGAGAATCTATGGGGCATTGCCAAGAGAAAGAGGGAAAGAGACCGAACAATGCAGAAGAGCTGAAGGCCGCTATTGAAGCATCCTGGTCTTCCGTAACACCTCAGCAGTGCCACAGGCTGATAGCATCCATGCCACGCCGCACTGAGTACATATTCATGATTATACTTTTCAGAGGGCTGACATTTCTGTTTAAAATCCTTTTTTTAAATTGATTTCATGTAATATTCAAATTTTCTGAGATTTTCAATTTGGGGTTTTCATAAGCTGTACGCAATAATCATCAAAATTATATCAAATAAAGGCTTGAAATATCTCACTTTGCATGTAATGAGTCTATATAATATATTAGTTTCACCTTTTAATTTGAATTACTGAAATAAATGAATATTTGCACAATATGCTAATATTTCGAGTTTCACCTGTATATGAACCCAAAGTAAACCTTTTGCTGTGATTTAATTGCAATACACAGATCAAACCGATGCCAAAATAACTACAATATGATGCCGTTTTGTATTTTGACATATGAATTCACGCTTTGTCAGGTCTGTCAGCAAGTCAGCAGGACGACAACTTTTAAAATGTTTGTTTTCTGAGTTCGGATCGATCAAGGCTATGCTATGCTAACCTGTTCGAAGTAAAGTACAACGATAGCTGGAATAAAGCTAAAGACACATTTTCTGAACTCCCCATGTAGTTCAACTTCCTCGCTTTCTTTTTTCCAAGTAATGTCCAGCTTTGTTTTTATATAATTGTAAAGTAGTAGTCCAGCAGAACTCTCGTGCCATCCGACGCTAACAACAACAGTGGAACCAGATGTGCACAGAAGCTAGCTGCCGAGAAGCGCGAGTGAAGACAAATCAAGTTGTAATTCCAAAAATTTAAGTAAAAAACTAATTTAATGAGACCAGTTACCTCTGACCTACTCCCGCTGGTAAACGGAGTAGTTGTCAAAGCAGAATCCAGACCCACTACAGGTGTTTATTTGCCCAAAAGCTGCAGTGCTACTCCCCATCCACTTCCCCGTTCTTTAGTAGCTCCCCGTCGGCCAGTGGATTGTCATTACACAGCTCGCCTGGTCCTCTCCAAACAATGCTCCGAAGCCGCCGGTAATGTTTGGACAATCTCACCGCTGATAGGCTTTCGCAATACTGCGTCAAGCGAATTTCTTGCCCTAAATATTTGAACTTGCACAAACCAGCATATTTTGCAACAAACGCTTCATTCGCCTGGAGCGAATTTGCGTCTTTGCATTGACTTTGTATGTAATCAAGCCACCCAAAACGCTGGAATCGCTTTTGGTGTGAACGCACCTTGAGGTGAAGTGTCGCGGTTGTGCTCTACTCACGCACACGCCCGCCCACTGCCGAAGTTGAAATGTCTTGAACTTTTTGTACGTGACTCGCAGCAGAAATCACTGGAAGAGAGACTGACCCTCGCTGTTTGTGAGTTTCCAGAATCAATTACTGTTCCCTAATAGGACACCAACAGGAGAGAATTGATCGATTGACTGAGCTTAAACTAGACGGCTTATTTCCATTGTGGTCCTTTTTTGGAAGGAAAATGGGTAGGAGCATCATGAAAAGGCAACAAATTAGTTATTAGCAACTTCCAAGTAGACACTGTTTCTCTCTAAAATAAAAAAAAAGTACAAAAAGTTAAATTTTGTAACAATACATTATACAATAATACTTAATACTTTCACATTCCTAGATAACATACAATACTAGTTCTGTCACAACATCATTATACAGTGTTTAAGGAAATTCAAAATATTGGACTGGCAGTAAAATGCAAAATTGACAGTGACATTTAAAACAAAAGCATACTGCTAACATTTCATGATATATATGTTATAATTGTTATTGTAAGGGAAATCGGCCACTCAGGCATTTTGTGAGTGGGAACTTAAACCTAAAGAGTTGATTAAATTTCACATAATGGCAGCTGAATACAGGAAAGTGTAAGTGTTAATTTGCGAAACTCGCTCTTCTACGTTGAGTGGGAAGATGTGTCCTAGATGGGAGTTTAAGGGCCAGTCGCACCAATTTATTTTGTGACGAGCTTCTTTTTAAGGATCATAGGTGCACTTATATACCAGGAGAGGCATGCATTATCAAAATGACACTGGATTAGAGCCCCTGCCAAGGTCTCTAACACTGTTCTATTCAAAAAAATTAAGATTGTAGCCAGAAATCAGATTCTTTGGTTGATTTTAGTGAGCACCATCTGAGCCAAGTCATTGACAGATTCCTTGGCTTGGATTCCTCAGGCTGTGGCCTTCTTTAGCTTAAAGTTTGATCCAAAGAGTATAGCCTCTATTTTACCAAGATGGAGTGACAGCCTGTTGTCAGACAACCATCGACTGGTATGAAATAATTCTAAGCTCTGGACTTTTTCGACCTTAGAGTTATCCTTGAGTAATACCATTAATGTGGAATCATCTGCATATAAAAAAGGTCACATGAGCAAGCAGATTTCATATCATTAGAAAAAACAGTGGACCTAAAACACTTCCCTGGGGGACCCCACATTCTAGGAACAATGGTTTGGATAGAATCCCACCCATATCCACCATTTGTTTCCTACCTCCAAGAAATGAACCAATCTATTTTATGGCTAAACTGTCAAATCCCAACACTTCATGTTATTAATAGAATGGTATGATCAACAGTATCGAATGCCTTTTGGAGGTCTAACATGACCATACCACAGTACTTTCCCCCATCTATCTCTCTCGTAATGTAATCGGTGAGATAGAGTAGGCAAGTGTCAGTGTAGTGGGATGTTCTGAAGCCTGATTGAAATGTATAGTATCATTAGAGGAAATATATGTATCTATCTGCTCCGATAATTTCCTGGATAACTTACTTCCTTTTTTTATAGAAAAGGGGAACTCTCGCCTGTTTAATTTCATTGGGAAACATTCCCAGCGTAATGGAAAGGTTTACTATATGCATTACACTGGAGGTGATGGAATCCGCGGCATCCCTAAGGAATCTGGCAGGAATATTATCCAAGCCAGTTGCTTTGGATGGGTTAAGTTTCTTTAACACTGCTTCTTCGGACACTGTTGTAAAAGAGAACGCATCAGCTTATTAACAACACTTATTAACCACGGTTTTCGCAAAGGTTGTAAAATACATATTTAAACTGTCAGCTATCCTGGCCTTTTTTACTTATAGACATGCGGACTGGGTTAATTGGTGACTCTAAATTGTCCGTAGGTGTGTGTGTGGCCCTGTGATGGATTGACGACCTGTCCAGGTTGTACCCCGCCTTTCGCCCAATGTCAGAAAAATCCTTATGCTTTGTCACGCTGTCTGAAAGCGTTAGTTATGATGCATTGAGATGAGAATGTGTTGGTTATCACCACATCTTTTTGATGAATCGCAATGAATTCTACTTCCACTAAATGTGATAACATATTAAGACTAAACGTTCATAAAATATATATTTCGGATTTATCACCATTGATGAAGCCCAAGATCAATATTATAACGTTTAAAAGCAGTATTTGGCGGTGCATGCAATTCTCTGCAGACATGCAAAACTCGGCATAACACCTGCGCGCTGTGAACAGTTCGTGATCGTTCCCTTTAATTTTAGCATAATCCATGCACAACAGCTGGGGCATCTCCACAGCACCACACAACTTTCTAAATTCTTCCATGTCACGGAGAAAAGAAAGGTCAGGTCAAAACTGTGTAGAGAGACTGCTGCAGCTGTTGTGTGAAGTAATAATTGTAATAAAATGGCTACATATAATAATAATAATAATAATAATAATAATAATAATAATAATAATAATAATGACAAACAATGCCTGATATTTTCACATTCAGCCCCAGCTATGGTATAGTTCGAAACAATCTGCTTCCACCAATTATAAAAGTAATTTAATTAAGATAAAACGATAATTGGGCCGCATGCTGTTTCACAATGACACTCGTTTTGTGTTATAAATCCAGCGCCTTTCCTTTACAGCTGAATCTCTCGTCCCTCTCAGCAGCTGTGATGTTTAATTCAGCTCGGGCCAACATAACTGGGGGTTAGGCCCTAAAACTCCTATTACTTCATATTTAACATTATTAGCTTAAGCCTATGGCATCTTACTATATAGGCTACAAGATAAGCGAGTATAGTTAATGGATGAGTGGATATTATTTATTCTAAACCAGGTGCGTTCAGTGTTGCTTAACTGATCGGTGCTTGTAAAATATCCACTGTGTCTGCATATGCAACTCTGAAAAGACCCAGTACAAATTTAACAAAACTGCACAATGACCAATAACCTTTGCCCATCACCAGGTACATATTATTTATATGTGATTCAAGGTCTAGTTCTGTTGCATTTAAAGTACGACAATGTTTTCAGACTGCACAACATTTTTTAAAATTTTCACTTAAATATTTTCCTTGTTACATGTGCAAATTGAAACCGTCAGGGCCTATATGTTTTTCAAACGGCTAAAACTTTGAGATTAAAATATTACATGGAGACTGGGATTAGGTCAAGTACTTCCTTTGCCTTTCTTCTTCTCTGCTCGCTATAATGGGACTCACTTGAACAATTGCTTTTGTCAAATTTGCATCCCTAGTGTACACAGTGGAATCACAAACTACAACAACAGCTGCCTGTGCCAACATTACGTCAAAAACACAATTCAACACCCATCAAATTAGTTAAGTTAAGTTAAGAACAGTCCACCTATTTGCAGCTCCTCGAGAGTGGGAGGGATTCCTGATGGAAGACAAACAACTCAACTTGTCAAATGTTACTCAGAGAAGGTCTCCTTCAGTGACAATTTGTAGCTCCTCCACAGTGTCACAGTTTGACAGTGACTTTAGTTAATTTTCACTAAAGTTTCTTAATCTAGTATCTTATTGTTGAGGCTGTTCACTTTTGGAGACAGTTTTAAATAATCCAGTTTGAGGAGGAGTTTCTGGAAGACTTCAAGCGTGTACGTGAGTATCTTAGGATAGGCAAGATTCACTGCACGCCAAGCCAACGACCATGCAGCACACCTTTGGAAAGTTACCCAGATACCGATGTCGTCAGGACCCTCTGACGTAGTAGTCTTGATGATGTAGATTTGCATCCTTTGTACAGCGAGGTCCTGTGACAGACAGCATCCTGAAAAAGCAAGAACATTATGTATTTAAGACACCCAAAGAAGAAGGTCCTAATTGAACAACTACCAAATTTCTTCCAACCATTTGGACAAAAACAAATCTGAGATAACAAAATACAAAATATTTTCAAGCCAGGTAAGTTAAAAAGGAATCATCCAGCTCACTAACAAACCAAAATAAATTATGGTCTGGTCACAGTTGTATTTGTAAAATAAAAACTTTGGAGATTAAATAAATCCATTTCTACAGAAGTGAATTTCTTACCAGAACTTGTGGATTGGAGAATACCTCTTACTGCGTTCATTAACACAGGCTGGCGCTTGTAAAACCAATTTCTATGTCACTGTAAGCTCATTCCTGAAGCTTGAAGTCATCCACAGCATCAGTCAAATTTGCTGACTTTGTCTCAAAAGAAACGAAGGTAAGATGGAGTCTTGAATTGGACTCTGGTTTCTCCAGTAGGTAAACTGCAGTGCTGTAATCCACAACACATTGTACCTGAACTGTGTCTGTTTCTGGCAGCCGTCCACGGTATATTTGATTTAAAACATAATATTAGCAAAATACAAAAAGTAAAAGTCCTGCTTTCAAAATGTTACTAAAGTCAAAACACACAATTATTATCTACATGTAACTACTTCACATAAAGTTGGCAGATAAATTGATATAAATGCTTCATGTTGTAAAATATTAATCTGCAGAGTAACCTGTAAATAATCTCTACATGTTTTTATTTCAATATATTTTTTTATTTCAATGTAAACGTCTGTTTTCTTGCCAGTAAAGCTGAATTAACCCACAGATGTCAGATAAATAGTCATTTTCCACCAGTTGTTCACCAGAAATGATCAGAGTTGTGTTGATGCAGGTCTGATCTGAGCTGGAGAAGCTCAACTAAAACACACCTGAGCTCAGTTAGCAGTCCGACTTCTCGCTTTATATCAATATAAAAACAGACTTCTGATCAGTTATTTGAACAGCGTCCTGATTTTAGAGCAGATGTAACCAAGAGTCAATAAACCTGATAAAAACAGGATCATTGACCTTCTGTAACTGTCAGGGACGGACTGGGAGTAAAAAATGGCCCTGGACTTTGATCCAGACCGGCCCACCAGAACGGCCCACCGTTTACTCCACCAAGGCCGCCCTGCGTACGCACGTACCCTCTAATACAACCACTTAGCAGCATCACAGCCACTATGGCAGTAGGCTACTACTTTAAAAAGGCTGCAGAACACTCATGGCTTTAGGACCATGTGGACGCAGCTGATTACAACATCGCAACCCCCATTTCAAGTTGAAAAACTGTTTCCCCATCAATAGACAGTGTCCAGACCTGGGGTAAGACGACGCACATGACAGGCAGAGTTTTGGGTGATAAAGAGGGTACGAGTTACCTGGGAGCCAGTGGGATCAGGAGATCCATCAGGAGGGTCTGAGCTCCCATGGAAGCAGTAAAATCATCTGTGGGGTTTATCTACAATAAATTATTATTTTGAATCACAAAATTTAGAGCTGCTTCGTTCATACCACAGTCCTCCTTCTAACATATCTACAGGTCTTTTTATTATCTTGATTATGAAGTACTAATATATTCCACCAAGTTGTCCACCTCAGGATGGCATGTATTAATTTTTAATCTGACATCTGTAGGTTAATTCAGTGAACATTTACATTGTGAAATAAAAACATGTACAGAGTACAGTTACTCTGCGGATTAATATTTTACATCTTGACGCACTTATATGTAGAGATTATATATATATATATGTATAATATAGATTTATCTGCCAACATTATGTAAAGTAGTTACATGTAGATAATAATTGTGTACTTTGACTTTATTAACTTTTTGAAAGCAGGACTTAACGCACTAGTTTTGTATTGTGGTAAAATGTGTTTAAAGGCAAAGATCTGGAAAAACAGTGGACGGCTGCCAGAAACAGACACAGACACACAGTTCAGGTATGATGTGTAGTGGATTACAGTAGTAGAGTTTACAGTAGCCTACTGGAGACACCAGGGTCAAATTGAAGACTCCAGTGCAAATTTAAACAGATGTAAAATAAAGAACTGTTCACATTTCTGATCGATACATGTAGCTTCATATGGATACAGTACATACAGGGAGGGGCAAATATCCATCAGCAGCAACGCCATATATCAAAATAAATTTTATTTTAAATAAAATCTAAATTTTGTGATTAGTAAAAATACTTTCTGAAGGCACCATGAAATCACTTCACTTCAAATTCTACAACCTTGTGTTGATGATAAAAAAAACTACATTGATACTTGATAAAAAAGTATCAATCAACTAAACCAAATTCCTAGATCAAGAGGCCTTTCCTAATCTATACATATTGTCTAACAGTTGAAGCAGACTGTTTTAAAGGAGGGAGGATTTTATCAGCAAATCATCACAGCATGCATTCTGAATTTCTACAGTGAGTAAAAGATACTTCTGATGTTCACAGCATTCATGTATTTACCCAGAAGGAAACCATTTATATTCATATTAAACTCATTTTAAATGATTGTAACGTAACGTTAATTAGACTAACCTCACACTGCGCTCCCACTATCATCCTCCCTCCTTTAAAACTGTTTTCTCCATCTGTTGGTCCAAGAATCAATATACCTCTACAGAACAGAATTAGGTAAACAAACATTTATTTATTAGGACAAGTTATCATTAACTCAAATGAGTCTGACCTTGTATTGGCTCATGATTCAGACGGACTCAGTGGACTTTCGGAGTCAGTCCGGGGTCATGTAAACTTGGTTTCAAGTTTCAGTGTGTAAGATGTAGTGGCATCTAGTGGCGAGGGTTGTGAATTGCCACCATCTGTCCAGTCTACCACTGGCCCCTAACCTTTCAAAGAGTGTAGGACAACTACGGTGGCTGACACAGCACAAAAGGTGTCTCTTCTGAGACAGCAAAGAGTGGCCAATCAAGAAATGAGGTTTCTTTAGGTAAATTTATTAGGGCCTGAACACGAAACATGTGGAGGTCCCTATTTTTCATTTTTCTGCTAAGTAACCTCAGTTTTTGGGGCCTTAACATGTTCAAAAACTCACCAAACTTTGTACAAAATTCAGGCACACCCAACAGGAAGCTGTGCCTTTTGGATTTAATGGTAATTTTTGGCAATTTACACACTTTGTACTTTCACAAACTCCTCCTAGGGAATTAGTCCAACCGATTTCAGATTTGTGCTGTGCGATCTAAACCATTGACAATTAAAAGTTGTACAAACACATGCCCGATGATAATAAACTGACCAAACTCAAAAGCGCAAAATATGGGTGACATTAATTTATTATTACGTCAACAAATGTCAACAGACTAGACAAGAGATGAAGATGTTAAAATGATTAAAGTACAAGATGTCTGATGAAAATAGTTTCTCGGGTCCCATTCTATTTTGCAACAGACCTTAAATTCATCATACATAGGTAAAACTATAGATTAAAGGTTCAGTGTGTAATATTTCTGAAGATCTGTTGACAGAAATGCAATATAAGATCCATAACTATGTTTTCAGTGGTGTGCAAAGACCTTACATAATAAGCCATTATGCTTTTATTACCTCAGAATGAGACATTTATATGTTCATAACACCCCCTTTTGTGGAGGTCGCCACCTTGCATTGTCTGTTTCTACAGTAGCTGGAAACAGACAAACAGCGCTACAGAGCACGATTCATCACTACGATCTTCTTGTTCTACTTCTGGTAGAATTCAGGCAGTGCAGACACTCATCACTATGTTCAGTACGTATGTTAGAAGAAGAAGTAGTAGTAATAATATACTGCAGGGGTCTGCAAATACGTTTTGAATTGGAGCAGAGATGGTGGATGAGAATATAAGAATTAATATTATTTTATTTCAGGAGTAGCAGTTGATTGGTTAGTTCAGTTGGTAAGGTGCAGCACTCACAACCCAGGACTGAGACTTCAATTCCATCTTTCTGCAGCGAACATTTCTCAGATCACAGCATGTGCTGCACAATTTTTGTTTTGGTGTTTGATCTTCATCCATCAACCTACAGATGCTTTTCATTTCCCCAGTATCTCCAGGCAGAGGACATTTAGAAGAATCACTTTTTCTGAAGGCTCTTTCAGAGGTGTTTAAAGCAGGCTACAGACTCTTTTAATGTCGTTCAGAGTTTTTCAAAGTAAAAGCTTGGTTCAACTCAAATACAAGATTGCAATAAACAAAAATTCTCGTGCTTTTATTTTGTAGGCAAAACCACTAAAAAGGAAGTGATTATGTGAGTAACTGTTGCTGTCATGACTGAGATCTATTTCAGCACCGCCATCAAAGTATTTATTTATTTATATTTTTTGCCGCACCATAATAAAAGCACCATAATCTGGCAGTGGGCCAGATATTATTGTTGGCAGGCAGTTTTGGTGAGGGTCCATAATCAGAGAGATTTAATGTCAATGTTTGTCTAAACTTTCCCCAATGTGTGGTTTATAATGGACTGTGGTGCAGAAACAGTGACAGTGTTTTCACACTCACATTTTCCATGCTATCTGTCAGTGGCCAAATCACAATAATCTCTGGTTTTACTGAATAATTAAGTAAATTTAACTTCTTAATAAATATACCCAAAGAAACCTCGTTGCTTGACTGACTCTCTCTCAGAAGAGACACCTTTTGTGCTGTCAGACACCCTGCAATTCACAACCCTCGCCACTAGATGCCATTAAATCTTACACACTGAACCTTTAAACAAAGTGAGCCAGAGTAGGCTACACCCCCAACCATCAGCATTGCTTGTTAAGACTTAATTTTTTGTTATGACACTACCACACTTCAATTTGACCAAATTATAAGGCATCCTACACACAATCTGGGGGATTATAGCACCTTACTCCATGTACAAGTTGCCTGTTGGCTACACTTACTTTGGTACACAATCACACCATACATGTTTGCATTTATAGCCACAGTATTAGTTGGTCCAATGTTCTAACCTTGTATTAAAATCAAGATTAATTAACACCAAGGGCAGTGCTGAGGGTGCAACTTTGTGTACACTTGACAAAGAGAGTTTGTCATGGACAGCCATGCATTTCGTTCAGTTTTGGTACCAGGCACCACCATGCACCAGGAACACTTTGAGGTGGGAAGTCAGATATTTCAACTCAGACATTTCCCAGTCACGACCTTTCTGGAACGTGGCGAAACAGTGCTCCCTACTCCCTGCACTTCTCTCTGCTCAGGGAGTGTCTCTAAAGGGGACTGGAGCTTGTTCAAATGATTATCTTTATATTCAAACAATAATCATATCGAAGTATCCAAAAACTTTACACACACACTTTCACTAAACTTGAACATAAGCTGCCACAATGAATGTAAGTAGGCCTATAATGCAAAAGTCCAAAAAGCACATGTAGCCTCCAAAAAACTATGGATTACAATGTTGTCACTGGAATCCAGTAAGCAAACAACACAAAAATAAACATATCCATCTTTCAATAATTTCTACTAGATATATTTTAAAGTTTCCTACAGGTTATAGGCCTACATAAATGAATAAATGGTTTATTTCACTTTACATTATAATGTACAAAGAATGACGATTTGTGTGAATATGCAATTTAGAAAAAATCGTATACATGCTTACACCAGTCCATTTCACACAAAATAACACAATTAACCACTGAAAAAGGAACAGACTGAAGCCCAAGGCTTATTATACCTTTCATCTGAACTAGAATGCAGAATAACAGGAATATGAATGAAAGAAAAAAAATAATAATAATAATAATTAAATACTAAATTGTAATCCTTAATTATTTTGCATTTCAAGGCTCTTTTGAAACTCCACAGAGAAAAACACAATTTCAATTCATCCCTGAGTCCATTCCATAATTTAACACATCGGTAATTTATTGGTTTACTCACTTTACATGATTCAAAGATGCACAGGCCTCATAAGTTATACTGTCCTACTTTTAATTTAAAACATTTTTAAATATAAACAGGAAGGCTTTTATTTTTAACTCAAAAAAGTGTTCCCGGTGTTTTTGAAAGGGTTAGGGTTATTAACAGTCACCAACATGTATTTAGCAGAGAAACAGACAGATAGAGACGTGGACTCAGTGAATGTTTGAATTGTCCTGCTTGATATAGGCTAGGCCTATTGTAAAAGCTCGCTTTATTATCACAGCCGCTGGTCAAGTTCACGATTAATAGTAAGGCTAGTGATACAGAGTGAAATTGAAGAATGGTAGGCCCACAGACTGCCTGGACATACTTCCTTTTAACTAAGCGTTTGTGCACGTAAGATGGCTGCCACGCGTTTCTTGCGTTCCTTTGGATCATAGTGTGGTGCCCGAACAATAATGCTGCGATGATGTGTTGAGAAGAAATCCACTTGACACTGAAACAAACGGACATCACGTGAAAATAAACCTCACTTTATGTCCGTGGTAATAGCAAAGGTATGTCTTTGTGATACTTTAATGTTTCTTTTAAAGGAATAAACACAATTGTGGTCAAATAAGTGTTTGCAGTTTACAGCGTAACCATGCATGTCATTACGTGCAAGCTATCCAGGAAATAATAGAAGCCTGTTGTTGCAGATGGATTATCTGTTTGGTAAGTGGACTGTAGCCTATAATTAACATGACTTACTGCTGAGTTATATGTAAAATAAAGACATGATCTCTTTTACAACTATCCTTATGACTACATTATTTAACTTGCTGTGTACCAACCAATCCAGTCCTTTTTACCTGTTAAAATACCTTTAAATGGCGATACAACCAATGTAATGCACCATTCCACCTGACAAATCATAGTTTATTATAGGAAACATCGTTATTAAAACAATCTTTACTTACTGGAGTACTAACATACTATTATATTAATGCAGTATTTTGTAATCACACTTGATGGATACACACTGGAAATACTGTCCTGGTGTAAATGTAGCAGGTTGTCTAACCAGGAGAGGATGACTTGAATTTGACATTTTTACGTTCAGTAAAATTAGCTAGCCTACTTGCAGCGCATCTCATCCACGGATATTATGTATCATAGCAACCGAAGCGTCTCAGCCGAAATAATGCTGCCCCTCCAAAGCGCACCTTAGCATTTTCAGAAGAGCAGCTGGTAAAAAACGCTTTGGTGGACACGGGCCCTTACTGACATATCGTAGCATGTAGCCTATTTCAGTCAGTCTCTGTAGGACTCACTATGTAAGAGTTTCTCCACATCGCTGCAGCAAACATAAAGCAGCCTATATGTGGGATTTCCTACAGATGGTGATGTCATTTTCCAGAGAGCTGATTGGTCAGTAGGGGCGTTTTCACAGAGCTGATCTCTTATCTGGAACATAACCTGCTCCAGAGCAGGTTAGCCGTTCAGCATAAATTACCATGGAGCTCTACCACGATAAGAAGTGAACCACCAAGCTTTGTTGTACAGAGAGACAAAGAGACACTCTGAGTTCTCCACACTCACCTGGATCATGTCAGACTGATGATGATGATGATGGGTTTAGGGCGTCTTCTGCACTCTCTGAGTCAGGAGTTGTTTCTGGTCTGTGTCTCCTTTGAATCATTTGATTGACCATAAAACCACCAACAGCAACAAGAAGAAGAGAAAGCAAACAAACAACTCCAACGTATCCCTCCCAGATGTTTCCAGCTGTGTGACCTGCAGAGCAGAAACAGGTGTGAAGTATCAGCTGTCAGCAGGTGGACAGAATGTCAGACATTATCTACTGAACTTTGGTCACATGACTCGTAGCAGCTGTTTCCTCTAAAGTCTCATCAGCAACATCTTTCTAAAACACAAACATCTGATCTGTGATGTTTCTCAGCTCAACTACCAGGAAGCAGCTTCACCTGAGAGACAAAGAGACACTCTGAGCTCTACACGCTGACCTGAGAGACAAAGAGACACTCTGAGCTCTACACGCTCACCTGAGAGACAAAGAGACACTCTGAGCTCTACACGCTGACCTGAGAGACAAAGAGACACTCTGAGCTCTACACACTCACCTGAGAGACAAAGAGACACTCTGAGCTCTACACGCTCACCTGAGAGACAAAGAGACACTCTGAGCTCTACACGCTTACCTGAGAGACAAAGAGACACTCTGAGCTCTACACGCTCACCTGAGAGACAAAGACACACTCTGAGCTCTACACGCTCACCTGAGAGACAAAGAGACACTCTGAGCTCTACACGCTTACCTGAGAGACAAAGAGACACTCTGAGCTCTACACGCTCACCTGAGAGACAAAGACACACTCTGAGCTCTACACGCTAACCTGAGAGACAAAGAGACACTCTGAGCTCTACACGCTAACCTGAGAGACAAAGAGACACTCTGAGCTCTACACACTCACCTGAGAGACAAAGAGACACTCTGAGCTCTACACTCTCACCTGAGAGACAAAGAGACACTCTGAGCTCTACACACTCACCTGAGAGACAAAGAGACACTCTGAGCTCTACACGCTGACCTGAGAGACAAAGAGACACTCTGAGCTCTACACACTCACCTGAGAGACAAAGAGACACTCTGAGCTCTACACACTCACCTGAGAGACAAAGAGACACTCTGAGCTCTACACGCTCACCTGAGAGACAAAGAGACACTCTGAGCTCTACACACTCACCTGAGAGACAAAGAGACACTCTGAGCTCTACACACTCACCTGAGAGACAAAGAGACACTCTGAGCTCTACACACTCACCTGAGAGACAAAGAGACACTCTGAGCTCTACACACTCACCTGTCACTGTCAGCTTGATGGTGCTGAAGAGTTTAGGTTCAGCGTCTCTCTTTCTGCGTCTTGCGTTGTTTCCCTCTTTAATCCAACACTCATATGTTCCAGTGTCGTTGATGTTGACGTTCTTCAGAATCACAGAAACGTCTCCGTCCTTCATCTTTGGATCTCTCAGCTCCACTCGACCAGGATAAGATTCACTCAGGCGGGTTACGCCGTCATTTCTGAAGAAGAAGACAAAACCATCTGTCTTCAGGTCAGTTCTGCTCCACGCTATCACTTCTATGTCAGCACCTCTGTGACTCTGACACTGAAGAGTGACGTTCTCTCCAGGCTTCACTGTCACCTCCTGTGTCTCTGAACAGAAAGAGAAAAGCCTCCAGTCAGGACTTGTAATGTTTCCTGTTGTTCAAACATCTTTGATGGAAGCAGCAGAGATCAGGTCTCTATAAAACAGCACATGTGAACTCAGCAGCATTTCAAACCCTGTTCTCAGACAACTTGAGTCCCAGCTGCAGAAAGGAGAGACTAACTCCTCTGCTGCAGCTGCACGCTGACTTCATGTTGCTCATTTCTACAGCTGTCAGTCAAGTCGTCCTCCGCACCATCAGACAGGAGACATTTTACTTTCATCTGCTTTCTGCTTGGGACTGTCGAGGAAATTTGTATATTGCTGGAGAGACATGAAGCAATAAACTGAGTAACAACAAATTGAGAAGTTATTAATAAAAAGAGAATAAACAGAGCAGTACTTTACCACAGAGTCAGCTGGTCCAGAGACCTGCCTATAGGGCAGCTTCATTAAGTATAGAACGCTGACTGAGCTTTAGCTGTTTTTGCAGAACATTGACATTGTTGAGTTACAAACAAGCAGGAGATCAAACATATCCAGCAGCCTACAGAGTCAAATTCTGTGGTAAACGTATATTTGATTCAATAAGATGAAAATATCGTAAATAGAATTGAAAATATAAGTTACAACAACAGTAATTATAAATATAAGTAGTTGCTGTGTAAACTGTACAAACTACAATCCCCTGAGTTTGTGAAACACGCAGCCACGTCAACTCGCTGTTTACAGGAGAGGAAAAGGAATAAAAAGACAAGCAGAGAAAATAGCAAAGAAGTATACATTTAGTCAGTTTGTTTTATTAAAACCTTGTTTGCATTAGCATTGTAATGCACTTAGCACTAAGCTAAATGTGACCATCCTGGCTAAAATATGCAGCTTCTGTGTTAGTTGTGTATCAGTAAGTTAATCATGAACTTTATATTTATCATAATGTTCTGCACAGAGGGCACTTTGTCTTTCATGTCATTTATTTATTTATATTTGTGAATGTAAAGTTGCTGGAGTTTTTGAAATGGAAGAGAGAGTTTCCCCACAGCTCAGGTGTGATTCGCTGCTGTTTGGGATGGACAGGACAGGTAGCACACAAAATGAATTTAAGGAAAAAATGCCCTCAAAGTTCTAAAGACAGTCAATGAAGGCGATAGAGGAGGAAATTAAATATTTGTCTAAAGTTACTTCATAATATGTATTAGCCTTTGATTTATTGTGATAGCTCATCAACAAATGTCAACAGGCTAGACTTTTGATGAAGATGTTAAAATGATTTCGAAAATATTGATTCAATTCTTTGATCTGTTTCTTGGGTCCCATTCTCTTCTGCAACAGACCTTAAAATCATCATGGGTAAGAATAAAACTGCTCAGTGCAGAAGTAAAGTAGTTCTACTGTTTTCTTGCTGTCCCAAAATACCTGAATTCAACCTATATTTAAATTTTAAAAAAATATTCGGAGTAAATAGGCTTAAAAAAACATAACTTAAATATAAAAATAAGTGAACACAAAGAGAACATCTGATATTAAAGTAAATCATTAGGAATTTGACACACTTGTAATCCTTATTGCTTCAGTTATTTATCGATGCTCTTATCAGGACAATTATTACTAAATAATTGCCTTTGAAAAACTATTTTATTAGAAAAAATAATTTAATATTTTTTATTATCTAAATGTTGTTTCTAGAGCAGCAACAGGATTCACAACAGAGAGGTCAGTAAAATAAATCATATTTCTGACATCAACATACTGAGTGAAGTTTAGAAAGATTAGAAGAAGAACCTGTCCTCCTCCCTCTGCTGCTGGTAGAGAGGAGTGCTGATCTGTCTCCAGCAGCTCAGTTTATATGTGCCATATTTTAAGGTAGGCCACCTGCAAACTAAGCTTAACAGTCACTAAAGACAGACAGCTTTCACTTTAGCTTGTTTTAAACAATAAGCTATTAGCTGAACTAGCGCAGAGACTGAGCAGATTAAAACATCGCGTTTTGCGTGTTTATGCTTATTAAACAGGAGTGCTGGTAAAGTATTGGCTTTTTTAGTCGCGAAGCTTCTGATGCACCACGTACTTAACGAGTGTAGCGTGTAGTGGAGATGCTCTGCAGAGACACAGAGAGGCTGCAGGTCAGCAGCCTTGGTCGGTACATGTGAAACTCTACGAAGAGGAGAAGGAAACGATATAACTCACTCTTCAGCTACTTCCTTACAATTTACATGTAACGTTAGTTTAATTTTGTTCTCATATAGCCTATAGTATTAGATTATGTGCTGGGCATCATGGAGGTCGCTTCGGGGCCGGATGTGGCCCGCGGGCCGCCAATTGCATGGGCCTGCGTAGGTCTAAAGAGCAGAGTTTATCTAGACCAAGACTTTTAGGGGCTAAGACCAAGTCTAGACCAAGACCATTTCCCCACATACATGACAAACAATAATATGTGGAACAAGATCATAGGTAGGTACTTCTCAGATTGATCTGAAAGATCCAACTGCCTAAAAACACCCACATACAAACACTAAGAGCTGAAATCATTAACTTCTTTATTCAACACTCCTTTTCGATCATTTCCATCTTTCCCATCGTGGGGAGGGGGGACAGTCGTTAACGGTAACAACACATTTTAAATCTGGGTTATTGGTTGCATGTGAAGCAAAACGTTTTACATCCAATCAAAGTTAGGATGTTGACAAATAAATAAACAAGCAATTTATTGATATTCCCAAAGGTGTGGTCTTGACTTGTCTTCAAATAAAATCCGAGACCCAGACAAGACCACGACCAAGACCATCAAAAAGTAGTCTTAAGACCAAGACCTGGGTTTCTGCTGTTCTACATATCAGTGAAAAACAAAACTTTCTTCTTGTTCTTTAAAGGCTGCTAAAGCACATGGCACACACTCCTCTTACCTTGACACAGAACAAAGATCCATGAACAGGAGAACAAAGCCACGAATTATGTTAATGATACAGCCATGACCGCAGAGCTGCTGCAGCTGATAAACCTGAAGCCAGACTGAGTTCTTCTTCCTGGTGTGTAGGTTTTGTTCTCAATGGACCCGCCCATATGTTATCAGAAGTGTAGTCCAGAAAGCAGGTTTACAGACAGCTCTGAGTTTGTTACTCCTGAGAAGAGGGAAATTCTGCATTTCCAGTTCCAGAAAGAGCAACTTTAACTCCTGTGACAGCCCGCTGTAGTGAGGGAGGAGACACTCACACACGGGGAGCTGATCAAATCAATGAAATGTGTTAGCATAAAAACAAGTGAAGGTTTATTACTGCAGGATTAACTCTGTTCACTTGTGTGGCTCTGGGTTCAAATCCCAGTCATGACAAGTGATTTCACATTTTTGGCGGGGACTAAAAGTATCTGCTACATGAGTAAATGTACTCTGTGTGCTACATTAAATTCTCCATCTCCAGTCTTTTCTTGAACTCTTTTGAAACATATTTTATTCAACAACGAAAACCTGTCCAAGGAAATATCTCAGATGGTCAGCATTACCACAACTACAGGAACATATCATATTAATTCATTTGAACGAGGACACATGAAGTATAAATGGTCAGATTCACATCTCTGTACATTCTGCTCACATACAATACAAAAAACAGTTTTACTGTTGGGTCTTAAACATCATTGATGTTTGTTTTAATGTAAATAATGTGTTTATTAAGTGCTTAAATTATTTTAAATAGAGAGAAGATGGACTCAGCAGACCAAATATAAGTGGTTGTGCTCTGCATCTAAACTACAGCAGCAACTTCCTCCTGTTGACTCCAGTGAACTGTGGTCTGAAGCTGGTGTTGTTTCTCACTATAGTGATCTATTTTAGCTGATAGTGTTGTGTTGTCTATCTTTGTGCCTTTGCTAAAATGTGTGAACTTTTTGTCGTCTAGTTTCGTGTTTCAGATAAATACCCTCCAGTTATATTGGTCTTTCACATTTCACAGTGTTAAGAAGAAGGAAACTGTCAGACCTGCTGCCATTTATACAGTCTATTACACAACTTATTATAATTATACCATCCATCTATCGTCAACCACTTATCCTGCGTACAGGGTCAGGGGGCTGGAGCCAATCCCTGCTGACATCGGGCGAAAGGCGGGGTCCACCCTGGACAGGTCGCCAGTTCATCACATAGACAAACAACCACTTACACTCACATTCACACCTAAGGGCATTTTGAAGTCTTTTATAATTATACATACATGTACATAGAAATATACATGAAATATAATGAAATCATTTCTACAGCAGTATTATTACAGGCATTGCAGGTGTAGTAATAGTGCACTGAACAACGGTGTTAACAGGCATGTTTTAACTATTTGTAGCTTGTTTCTTTTTTCACCATTTTGATATTAATATTTAATATTTTATTCGCCACCTTATTTAACTCTTTACTCACTTATTGAATCCGCCTCCTTCACTTCTCTTCACACTCACAGCCCTAACGTTCCTCTGCTGCAAACAGCCGGCTTCTTTCCGTCTCTCTCTCTCTCTCTGTCTGTCTGCTCCGGTGAATTTCTCCTTCACTAGTAGGATATATTATACAAAGTTGTCGGAAAAAGTCCAGAACTTGTCTTCTGGACTTTTCCTCCCGTGACTCCTTTCACAGCAGCAGCTGCTCCGCATGTCGAGGAGACGTGTTGATGACGTAGCCTTTCAAAAAAAAACCTACTTGGTAGCTAACAAATGACATCTGATGTGTTTACTGTCACATTACCTGGTACATGCTTGTCAAATATCCACCGAGTTAAGTCTTGATAACTTGATAACGTGATAACTAAATGTTTCTCTAAAAATTGGTACATTATGTCGCCTAACATAACTGGGCGGCCCCTAATATACCTGGGCGGCCCTTAATATACCTGGGCGGCCCCTAATATAAATGGGCGGCATGCTAAAGTAAAGTGTATGTGGGGGAAACACTGACTGAACCGTTTTTCTTTTCACAAGCCAGGATTATCTGGGCAAAGGAGAAGTGCTCACTAACACAGATTTTGACAGATTTGTGAACAGTATTTGAGAGAAATTGCCCTTCTGTAGAGAGAAAGTCTTAGATCTTTGAGTTCAGCTCATGATGAATGGGGGCAAAAACAAAAGTGTTGTGTTTATTTGTTTATTTATTTCCAACAAAAGCAGATGCAGCTAAAGGCATTTATTTCTTCCTAGCTTTGTCACTCTCCACACGTCACACTGAGGTTTGTTTGTTTTTTGTCCACTTGGGGGCAGCGTTGGTTTGTACTTCTTCCCTGTTTTGTTGTGTTTTTTGCTGCTTGTTTGTTGGTGTTTCTGCAGAGTGTCCTCTTTGTATCCTTGGAGAAATGGAGCTGGAAAAAGTCCACTGGTGAGCGTGTTGAATGTGTGTTCACCTGGGCTCCTGGTGATCTGCAGGACATGAACCTACTGGCTTGTGGGACAGCATCAAGATCACTTTCAGTTTTCCAGGGTTCAGAGCTGTGGTGTGGCTGTCCTGACGGGGCTCGTGGAGATCTTGACCTGGTTTGATTCCCACGCCTCCTCCGTGCAGGCCTGCGTATCTTTGTTACTGCGGTTGTAGATGGTCCAGGCTGGTCATCGTCTCTGTACATGACAACAACACATGTAAGAAGATTATTAAAAAGTCAAAATATTCATTATCATATGCACAATAAGTAAATAAACAAATATGGATTGGTGGGTGTTTAAATAACAGAGTCAACTAGACTGCTGGCTGTTGGAGGCTAATGCTAAACTGAATTGCTGAACTTCATGCAAGCTCTCATTTCAGCCTCTCTCTTAAACAAGCAGCAGATGCTTTTGTCTCTTTAAGCCCCCCCCCCCCCCCCCCCCCCCCCAAAAGCCCACTGTGTTCTGATTGGCCGAGATACTGAAGCAAGATGATTATGCCGCTCAGCAGTACAGACAGACTAAACATAGGAGTTGCCAGTTGTTATTGAGTTACATAAGACAGAAAATATAAGTAGCCTAATAAGTCTCCTTTAATGTGTGTGTGCGCGCACTGTTATGCATATATGTGTACTGTGTGACAGGGACACAGGTGGACAATGAGACTATCAGACTGACTGTGAGACAGAGACAGAGGTGGTCTATAAGACTGTGACACCGTGAGACACAGAGACCCAACTGTAATAATAATAAAGGTTGCAGCATTCACACCCAAATACGTAGGCTACAGCATGTTATTTCAGCATGTTATTTCCCCGGGGAGCTGATTAGTCAGTAGGCGGCGTTTTTATGGAGTTGATCTCTTATAAGCTGCTCCGGAGCAGGTTAGCCCCTCATCATAAGTTACCATGGCGATCTAAGAAGTGAACCACCGTTGTGGTGCTGAAAACACAGGATTAACCCCGAAGCTATCTGGATAATTCAAATCCTGCTTCATGGTACAGGCCTGAGAGACAAAGAGACACTCTGAGCTCTACACACTCACCTGGATCATGTCAGACTGATGATGATGATGATGATGATGGGTTTAGGGCGTCTTCTGCACTCTCTGAGTCAGGAGTTGTTTCTGGTCTGTGTCTCCTTTGAATCATTTGATTGACCATAAAACCACCAACAGCAACAAGAAGAAGAGAAAGCAAACAAACAACTCTGAGACGGAGTATCAGTCCAACGTTTCCCTCCCAGATGTTTCCAGCTGTGTGAGAAGCAGAAACAGGTGTGAGGTATCAGCTGTCAGCAGGTGGACAGAATGTCAGACATTATCTACTGCACTTTGATCACATGACTCGTAGCAGCTGTTTCCTCTAAAGTCTCATCAGCAACATCTTTCTAAAACACAAACATCTGATCTGTGATGTTTCTCAGCTCAACTACCAGGAAGCAGCTTCACCTGAGAGACAAAGAGACACTCTGAGCTCTACACGCTCACCTGAGAGACAAAGAGACACTCTGAGCTCTACACACTCACCTGAGAGACAAAGAGACACTCTGAGCTCTACACGCTCACCTGAGAGACAAAGAGACACTCTGAGCTCTACACGCTCACCTGAGAGACAAAGAGACACTCTGAGCTCTACACGCTCACCTGAGAGACAAAGAGACACTCTGAGCTCTACACGCTCACTTGAGAGACAAAGAGACACTCTGAGCTCTACACGCTCACTTGAGAGACAAAGAGACACTCTGAGCTCTACACGCTCACTTGAGAGACAAAGAGACACTCTGAGCTCTACACGCTCACTTGAGAGACAAAGAGACACTCTGAGCTCTACACACTCACCTGTCACTGTCAGCTCGATGGTGCTGATGGGTTCAGGTGCGTCTCTCTTTCTGTGTCTTGTGTTGTATTTCACTGCAACCCAACACTCATATGTTCCAGCGTCGTTGATGTTGACGTTCTTCAGAATCACAGAAGCGTCTCCGTTCTTCATCTCTGGATCTTGAAGCTCCACTCGACCCTGAAACAATGAATTCTGGTAGTCTCCGTTTATTTGATCAGGGCTGAGGTAGAAGACAAAATCATCTGACTTCAGGTCAGATCTGATCCACTTCATCACTTCTATGTCAGCACCTCTGTGACTCTGACACTGAAGAGTGGCGTCCTCTCCAGGCTTCACCTTCACCTCCTGTGTCTCTGAACAGAAAGAGAAAAGCCTCCAGTCAGGACTTGTAATGTTTCCTGTTGTTCAAACATCTTTTGATGGAAGCAGCAGAGATCAGGTCTCTATAAAACAGCACATGTGAACTCAGCAGCATTTCAAACCCTGTTCTCAGACAACTTGAGTCCCAGCTGCAGAAAGGAGAGACTAACTCCTCTGCTGCAGCTGCACGCTGACTTCATGTTGCTCATTTCTACAGCTGTCAGTCAAGTCGTCCTCCGCACCATCAGACAGGAGACATTTTACTTTCATCTGCTTTCTGCTTGTTTGGAGATTATTGATTATTGATATTATTTCCATCTGAATACAGACATCAGCATTTCTGACCCTGAACAAACAGCTGAAATATTAAACATGTGAAGTTTATTATTTCCTAGAAGCTTTGAATCTTTGTCCTTGTTTTCCAAAGCCGAAGCCAGCTCACCTGAGAGACAAAGAGACACTCTGAGCTCTACACGCTCACCTGAGAGACAAAGAGACACTCTGAGCTCTACATGCTCACCTGAGAGACAAAGAGACACTCTGAGCTCTACACGCTGACCTGAGAGACAAAGAGACACTCTGAGCTCTATGCGCTCACCTGAGAGACAAAGAGACACTCTGAGCTCTACACGCTGACCTAAGAGACAAAGAGACACTCTGAGCTCTACACGCTGACCTGAGAGACAAAGAGACACTCTGAGCTCTACACGCTGACCTGAGAGACAAAGAGACACTCTGAGCTCTACATGCTGACCTGAGAGACAATGAGACACTCTGAGCTCTACACGCTGACCTGAGAGACAAAGAGACACTCTGAGCTCTATGCGCTCACCTGAGAGACAAAGAGACACTCTGAGCTCTACACGCTGACCTGAGAGACAAAGAGACACTCTGAGCTCTACACGCTCACCTGAGAGACAAAGAGACACTCTGAGCTCTATGCGCTCACCTGAGAGACAAAGAGACACTCTGAGCTCTACATGCTGACCTGAGAGACAATGAGACACTCTGAGCTCTACACGCTGACCTGAGAGACAAAGAGACACTCTGAGCTCTATGCGCTCACCTGAGAGACAAAGAGACACTCTGAGCTCTACACGCTGACCTGAGAGACAAAGAGACACTCTGAGCTCTACACGCTCACCTGAGAGACAAAGAGACACTCTGAGCTCTACATGCTGACCTAAGACACAATGAGAGACAAAGAGACACTCTGAGCTCTACACGCTCACCTGAGAGACAAAGAGACACTCTGAGCTCTACACGCTGACCTAAGACACAATGAGAGACAAAGAGACACTCTGAGCTCTACACGCTCACCTGAGAGACAAAGAGACACTCTGAGCTCTACACGCTCACCTGAGAGACAAAGAGACACTCTGAGCTCTACACGCTCACCTGAGAGACAAAGAGACACTCTGAGCTCTACACGCTCACCTGAGAGACAAAGAGACACTCTGAGCTCTACACGCTCACTTGAGAGACAAAGAGACACTCTGAGCTCTACACGCTCACTTGAGAGACAAAGAGACACTCTGAGCTCTACACACACACCTGTCACTGTCAGCTCGATGGTGCTGATGGGTTCAGGTGCGTCTCTCTTTCTGTGTCTTGTGTTGTATTTCACTGCAACCCAACACTCATATGTTCCAGCGTCGTTGATGTTGACGTTCTTCAGAATCACAGAAGCGTCTCCGTTCTTCATCTCTGGATCTTGAAGCTCCACTCGACCCTGAAACAATGAATTCTGGTAGTCTCCGTTTATTTGATCAGGGCTGAGGTAGAAGACAAAACCATCATCTGGCTTCAGGTCAGATCTGATCCACTTCATCACTTCTATGTCAGCACCTCTGTGACTCTGACACTGAAGAGTGGCGTCCTCTCCAGGCTTCACCTTCAGCTCCTGTGTCCCTGAACAGAAAGAGAAAAGCCTCCAGTCAGGACTTGTAATGTTTCCTGTTGTTCAAACATCTTTTGATGGAAGCAGCAGAGATCAGGTCTCTATAAAACAGCACATGTGAACTCAGCAGCATTTCAAACCCTGTTCTCAGACAACTTGAGTCCCAGCTGCAGAAAGGAGAGACTAACTCCTCTGCTGCAGCTGCACGCTGACTTCATGTTGCTCATTTCTACAGCTGTCAGTCAAGTCGTCCTCCGCACCATCAGACAGGAGACATTTTACTTTCATCTGCTTTCTGCTTGGGACTGTCGAGGAAATTTGTATATTGCTGGAGAGAAATGAAGCAAAAAACTGAGTAACAACAAATCGAGAAGTTATTAATAAAAAGAGAATAAACAGAGCAGTACTTTACCACAGAGTCAGCTGGTCTAGAGACCTGCCTATAGGGCAGCTTCATTAAGTATAGAACGCTGTTGTTTTTGCAGAACATTGATATTGTTGAGTTACGAACAAGCAGGAGATCAAACATATCCAGCAGCCTACAGAGTCAAATTCTAAAGTGGTAAATGTATATTTGAATCAATAAGATGAAAATATCGGAAATAGAATTGAAAATATAAGTTACAACAACAGTAATTATAAATATAAGTAGTTGCTGTGTAAACTGTACGAACTACAATCCCCTGAGTTTGTGAAACACGCAGCCACGTCAACTCGCTGTTTACAGGAGAGGAAAGGAATAAAAAGACAAGCAGAGAAAATAGCAAAGAAGTATACATTTAGTCAATTTGTTTTATTAAAACCTTGTTTGCATTAGCATTGTAATGCACTTAGCGCTAAGCTAAATGTGACCATCCTGGCTAAAATATGCAGCTTCTGTGTTTAGTTGTGTATCAGTAAGTTAATCATGAACTTTATATTTATCATAATGTTCTGCACAGAGGACACTTTGTCTTTCATATCATTTTATTTATTTATATTTGTGAATGTAAAGTTGCTGGAGTTTTTGAAATGGAAGAGAGAGTTTCCCCACAGCTCAGGTGTGATTCGCTGCTGTTTGGGATGGACAGGACAGGTAGCACACAAAATGAATTTAAGGAAAAAAATGCCCTCAAAGTTCTTAAGACAGTCAATGAAGGCGATAGAGGAGGAAATTAAATATTTGTCTAAAGTTACTTCATAATATGTATTAGCCTTTGATTTATTGTGATAGCTCCTCAACAAATGTCAACAGGCTAGACTTTTGATGAAGATGTTAAAATGATTTCGAAAATATTGTTTCAATTCTTTGATCTGTTTCTTGGGTCCCATTCTCTTCTGCAACAGACCTTAAAATCATCATGGGTAAGAATAAAACTACTCAGTGCAGAAGTAAAGTAGTTCTACTGTTTTCTTGCTGTCCCAAAATACCTGAATTCAACCTATATTTAAATTTTAAAAAAATTAAAAATCGGAGTAAATAGGCTTAAAAAACATAACTTAAATATAAAAACAAGTGAACACAAAGAGAATACATCAGATATTAAAGTAAATTGCTCAAAAGATGAACATCTAGAATTTCAGAATTTCAGAATTTCATAACAATAAATGGTCATTAAACGTTAGAAGGCACAGATCAAAATATCTCTAGACTGTAAATGGTGAAGGACTAATGAGTAGTGTTGTAGTCAAGAGCGCCCAAACCGAGACCAAGTCAAGACCAAGACCGGTTCCCCACATTATATGACGAGATCTCAAACTGATCTGAAAGATCCACATTCCCATAAAAACACCCACATTCAAACACTAAGAGCTGAAATCATTAACTTCTTTATTCAACACTCCTTTTCCATCTTTCCCATCGTGGGGAGGGGGGACAGTCGTTAACGGGAACAACACATTTTTAATTATTGGTTGCATTCGAAGCAAAATGTTTTACATCCAATCAAAGTTAGGATGTTAACAAATAAATAAACAAGCAATTTATTGATATTCCTAAAGTTATAGTCTTCACTTGTCTTCAAATAAAATCCGAGACCTGAGAAGACCGCGACCAAGACCATCAAAAAGTAGTCTTAAGACCAAGACCTGGGTTTCTGCTGTTCTACATATCAGTGAAAAACAAAACTTTCTTCTTGTTCTTTAAAGGCTGCTAAAGCACATGGCACACACACTCCTCTTACCTTGACACAGAACAAAGATCCATGAACAGGAGAACAAAGCCACGAATGATGTTAATGATACAGCCATGACCGCAGAGCTGCTGCAGCTGATAAACCTGAAGCCAGACTGAGTTCTTCTTCCTGGTGTGTAGGTTTTGTTCTCAATGGACCCGCCCATATGTTATCAGAAGTGTAGTCCAGAAAGCAGGTTTACAGACAGCTCTGAGTTTGTTACTCCTGAGAAGAGGGAACTTCTGCATTTCCAGTTCCAGAAAGAGCAACTTTAACTCCTGTGACAGCCCGCTGTAGTGAGGGAGGAGACACTCACACACTGGGAGCTGATCAAATCAATGAAATGTGTTAGCATAAAAACAAGTGAAGGTTTATTACTGGTGGATTAACTCTGTTCACTTGTGTGGCTCTGGGTTCAAATCCCAGTCATGACAAGTGATTTCACATTTTTGGCGGGGACTAAAAGTATCTGCTACATGAGTAAATGTACTCTGTGTGCTACATTAAATTCTCCATCTCCAGTCTTTTCTTGAACTCTTTTGAAACATATTTTATTCAACAACGAAAACCTGTCCAAGGAAATATCTCAGATGGTCAGCATTACCACAACTACAGGAACATATCATATTAATTCATTTGAACGAGGACACATGAAGTATAAATGGTCAGATTTACATCTCTGTACATTCTGCTCACATACAATACAAAAAACAGTTTTACTGTTGGGTCTTAAACATTATTGATGTTTGTTTTAATGTAAATAATGTGTTTATTAAGTGCTTAAATTATTTTAAATAGAAGAGAAGATGGACTCAGCAGACCAAATATATTTGGTTGTGCTCTGCATCTAAACTACAGCAGCAACTTCCTCCTGTTGACTCCAGTGAACTGTGGTCTGAAGCTGGTGTTGTTTCTCACTATAGTGATCTATTTTAGCTGATAGTGTTGTGTTTGTCTATCTTTGTGCCTTTTGCTAAAATGTGTGAACTTTTTGTCGTCTAGTTCCGTGTTTCTGATAAATACCCTCCAGTTATATTTGGTCTTTCACATTTCACAGTGTTAAGAAGAAGGAAACTGTCAGACCTGCTGCCATTTATACAGTCTATTACACAACTTATTATAATTATACCATCCATCCATCTATCGTCAACCACTTATCCTGCGTACAGGGTCAGGGGGCTGGAGCCAATCCCTGCTGACATCGGGCGAAAGGCGGGGTCCACCCTGGACAGGTCGCCAGTCCATCACATAGACAAACAACCACTTACACTCACATTCACACCTAAGGGCAATTTTGAAGTCTTTTATAATTATACATACATGTACATACAAATATACATGAAATATAATGAAATCATTTCTACAGCAGTATTATTACAGGCATTGCAGGTGTAGTAATAGTGCACTGAACAACGGTGTTAACAGGCATGTTGTAACTATTTGTAGCTTGTTTCTTTTTTCACCATTTTGATATTATATTTAATATTTTATTCTCCACCTTATTTAATTCTTTAGTCACTTATTGAATCCGCCTCCTTCACTTCTCTTCACACTCACAGCCCTAACGTTCCTCTGCTGCAAACAGCCTGCTTCTTTCCGTCTCTCTCTCTCTGTCTGTCTGCTCCGGTGAATTTCTCCTTCACTAGTAGGATATATTATACAAAGTTGTCGGAAAAAGTCCAGAACTTGTCTTCTGGACTTTTCCTCCCGTGACTCCTTTCACAGCAGCAGCTGCGCCACATGTCGAGGAGACGTGTTGATGACGTAGCCTTTCAAAACAAAACCTACTTGGTAGCTAACAAATGACATCTGATGTGTTTACTGTCGCATTACCTGGTACATGCTTGTCAAATATCCACCGAGTTAAGGCTTGATAACATAACGTGACAACATACCTGGGCGGCCCCTAATATAACTGGGCGGCCCTTAATAACCCTGGGCGGCCCTTAATATACCTGGGCGGCCCCTAATATAACTGGGCGGCCCTTAATAACCCTGGGCGGCCCTTAATACACCTGGGCGGCCCCTAATATAACTGGGCGGCCCTTAATAAAACTGGGCGATCCTTAACATAACTGGGCGGCCCTTAATAACCCTGGGCGGCCCCTAATACACCTGGGCGACCCTTAACATAACTGGGCGGCCCCTAATATACCTGGGCGGCCCTTAATATAACTGGGCGGCCCTTAATATAACTGGGCGGCCCCTAATACACCTGGGCGGCCCTTAATATAACTGGGCGGCCCTTAATCACCCTGGGCGGCCCCTAATATACCTGGGCGGCCCTTAATAACCCTGGGCGGCCCCTAATACACCTGGGCGGCCCTTAATATAACTGGGCGGCCCTTAATCACCCTGGGCGGCCCTTAATACACCTGGGCGACCCTTAATATAACTGGGCAGCCCCTAATACACCTGGGCGACCCTTAACATAACTGGGCGGCCCTTAATCACCCTGGGCGGCCCTTAATACACCTGGGCGACCCTTAATATAACTGGGCGGCCCTTAATATAACTGGGCGGCCCCTAATACACCTGGGCGACCCTTAACATAACTGGGCGGCCCTTAATCACCCTGGGCGGCCCTTAATACACCTGGGCGACCCTTAATATAACTGGGCGGCCCTTAATATAACTGGGCGGCCCCTAATACACCTGGGCGACCCTTAACATAACTGGGCGACCCTTAACATAACTGGGCGGCCCCTAATACACCTGGGCGACCCTTAACATAACTGGGCGGCCCCTAATATAACTGGGCGGCCCTTAATAACCCTGGGCGGCCCCTAATACACCTGGGCGGCCCTTAATATAACTGGGTGGCCCTTAATATAACTGGGCAGCCCCTAATACACCTGGGCGACCATTAACATAACTGGGCGACCCTTAACATAACTGGGCGGCCCCTAATACACCTGGGCGACCCTTAACATAACTGGGCGGCCCCTAATATAACTGGGCGGCCCTTAATAACCCTGGGCGGCCCCTAATACACCTGGGCGGCCCTTAATATAACTGGGCGGCCCTTAATCACCCTGGGCGGCCCTTAATACACCTGGGCGGCCCTTAATATAACTGGGCGGCCCTTAATATAACTGGGCGGCCCCTAATATAACTGGGCGGCCCCTAATACACCTGGGCGACCCTTAACATAACTGGGCGGCCCCTAATATAACTGGGCGGCCCTTAACATAACTGGGCGGCCCCTAATATAACTGGGCGATCCTTAATATAACTGGGCGGCCCTTAATAACCCTGGGCGGCCCCTAATACACCTGGGCGGCCCTTAATAACCCTGGGCGGCCCTCAATATAACTGGGCGGCCCTTAATATAACTGGCCGATCCTTAACATAACTGGGCGGCCCCTAATATAACTGGGCGATCCTTAATATAACTGGGCGGCCCTTAATAACCCTGGGCGGCCCCTAATACACCTGGGCGGCCCTTAATAACCCTGGGCGGCCCCTAATACACCTGGGCGGCCCTTAATATAACTGGGCGGCCCCTAATATAACTGGGCGGCCCTCAATACACCTGGGTGGCCCTTAATATACCTGGTAGTGGAGTCCTGGTGATCTTCTCAGCTGTCTTCACTTCTCTCTGGGGTCCACAGCAGTAGTGCTGCCACTCCACAAGGTGATGCAGCTGGTCAGGATCCTCTCAACAGCCCGCCTGTAGAAGCTGCTGAGGATCTTAGGTGACATACCAAACTTTCTCAGTCTCCTCAGGAAGTGCAGCCGCTGTTGAGCCTTCTTAACCAGCTGTGTGGCGTTCAGTGTCCAAGTGACGTCAGATATTTAATATTGCTCACCCTCTCAACCTCAAGTGAACAGTGGCTGACGAGGTCTCCTCTCCTTCCTCATGTCCACTGTTGCCTCCTTCGTCTTGTCAGTATTAAAGGTGAGGTTGTTGTCCTCGCACCACGCCACCAGGCTGGCCACCTCCATCCTGTAGGTTGCCTCGCCAGTGATGCGTCCTATCACTGTGGTGTCGACCGAACAGGGAGGCAGCACAGTCATGAGTGAACAGGGTGTAGAGGATGGGGCTGAGGACGCATCAAGGTGGAGCGTCAGTGTTTGTTATAAGTTTAACAGTTATTACACACATATAAGCTTTACTTTAATGTCGTATCAGTGGACAATATGGAGGTTGTTTGGTAATATTGGTACCAACAGGCTTTTTGATGATCATGGTTTATTTATATTTTACAAACTTTTTTCTATGTAATTAAAAAAACTGACTGCGATCTAAACACATAGTCTATATAACTGATTTCATTTAAAAAAACACAACATTAAAAGATCTAAGGCTAAGATGATGATTGTATCCCCAAAATGAAGTGAAAACAATTTCAACAAATAAACAAGTTTTTTTAAAGAATTCATTCAGTACTCCCCAAGTTAAAAACATTATTAATTAATGATACTAAAAAAGTTAGTGGCACGATGTGTTTTTGGCATTGTTCTGAAGATGTTTTAATCGCAGGGCCATATTGTTGTAAATTCTGTTTTTTAGACTTATGTAATACTGGAATGTTTCCTAAAATCATCATTCTTTTCTTAAAGGTTTCGTGTTGTTTAAAAAAAGTATGTGTTGTCTTCAAGTTCACCCATAAATCCACCCACACAAGCCACAATTAACTTGTCCACCACTAGGTGTCAGACTAGAGCCACGATAGGGAAACTACACGACCTGCAGCGCTGCACGTTTTCATAAAGTTAATGGAAAATACAATTTGCTGTCCTTGTGTAACTATATTTTCTGATACAATCATCTCACCAGGACAAAGATGCATCACGTCACGTGTTCACAGGCTACAGTATATGTTGCAATCAATGTGCCACGTTTAATAACCATCTCTTTATTTTCTATTTAGCTTCGCACACTGTAATACTGGCTGAATGAACGTTTCTTTGCCTCTGACAAGCTGTTTGTTCTTGTTCCCTTACAGACTGAGTGGTCCTTCCTGTGTCAGACGTTCCTCTTCCACACTTTAAAATAAAACCATTGATTACTAATCATTGTTGTCTTTCTTCACTCACAGTAACAGCTCACTGGAGCTGCTAGTGTTAGATTGTGTTGCATATTGGACTAGAAACGAGTTTTGTTGCTGTTACACCACAGCTGGTGTGTTGCCTGTGTGAAGGATTTGATTTTGATGGGAATAAATGATGACGGGAGATGAGTATGAAGAATATAAAACATGGCCGACAGCAGATTCAGCTGTTGTATCTCAGGTTCAGGTGAAGTATAAATATCTAGACTGTTTCACTTACAGTATGACAGAATGAACTGTTCTCAGATCAACTCGATGTCAGATGACAGTGGCCTCCATTCAGATTTCCAGCTGAGGGTCAAACACCTCAGACTGTTAAAAACCATCATCACTAGCGGACTGGCCACTGGGAGCACCGAGAGATTTCCTGGTAGCTTGAGGAGGTGCTGGCCTGCCGTTAATATTAGGGGTGTGGATCTCTGGGCACCTCATGAAGTGATTACGATTCAAAGGGCTTTGATGCGATTATAAAACAATTATTGATGCATCTCTTTTTTTCTACACAGGATTTCTGGATAGTTACTAAGCATTTAATTTGCACATTAATGTTAAAAGAAACCTCATTAGCTGTAGTTTCTATCCCTAATTTACTTCACTAATCCTCCATAATCATCACCTTCCTTTGTTTTAACAACCAGTTCTTTCACCTGTAAACTAAAATATAATGTAACTATCAGGATGTGCAGTCTGTGTACAGGACAGAGCTGAACACCAGTGCAGTCTAAGCTTGTACTCACTTCAATCCGCAGGGTCTCTCTGCTCCACATGTGAACAGACAGGCAGACAAAACGCTCCGAGAAACAGGCGCTCTATGAGCCCAATTTACTAACATCCCGATTTATCATTAAGGCAAAAGTACTAAATGAACAACAGGTGCTATTTTGCACTTTTGAAAGATGCATTCTGCGTGCACACCGTTAGTAGATCGGCTTGCATGTTAATTTGCACTGATATCAAGTTTGCACACGTTTTTACTCACGCAAACCTTTAAATCTGGCCCTAATGGTAGTAACCCAGGCAATGGCTTCTGTGCCCTATCCCTGCCGGTACAACTCTATTTTCTTTATAGGCTAGAAAACATTAAAATATTAGTGGTAATTATCAGAAAGATAGATGTATTTATTTTTGTGCTGTTTGACTGTGCTTGGTTTGCGTAAACAGGGTGGCCTGGGGTGGAGTAAATTATTGTGGCACTCCGCCCCTGATGATCATGACACCTTTAAGACGGACAACATGAACATTTGGACGATTTATTGACCTTTGCAGTGTTTTGAACAGGCAAAGACACAGTCACTGACATGCAAGGGATCACTTTGTGTTGAAAAGTGGTGCTCAGATTAGGGGTGCGTCGCTACACTTAGCTCACGTGATCTGACGGTGCATAATAGTGGGTTCAAAAGAACAAGATGTAAAGATATTTAACCCTATTTTAATGAAATCATTTCTTAATAAATCTACCTAAAGAAACCTAATTTCTTGACTGGCCACTCTCTGCTGTCTCAGAAGAGACACCTTTTGTGCTTTGTCAGCCACCGTAGCTGTCCCATGCTCTTTGACTGGATAGACGATTGCAATTCACAACCCTCATCACTAGATGCCACTAAATCTTATACACTGAACCTTTAAGTATAAGGTTACTAAATGTAGCCTTATGAAGCGTGTTGCACCTGCTGCAGTGTCCACAGCTCTTTTATTTACTGTTAGACATTTTTGTTTTATATTTTTTACTCAAAACACATTTTAATTGATCTACTTTTTACTTCTGAGGTCCGTTTAAGAGGTTTAAGTAATTTTACTTTAACTTAAGTATAATATACAAGGACTTTCCCATCCCATCCCCGGCTAAGGTTGGATATTTGAATTGGATTCTTTCTGACCCGTCCCTGGGACCAATTTGTCATTAGACCCTACCATGAGCCCCTCCACCATTATTTGTTCCCACTGAAGAAGCAGACCGTCGTGGTGGAGAGCCGCAAATGCCTGATTTACACATTCACACCCACAGAAAGAATAAATATCATGAATGTTTGATACTTGTGGTGGAAAAAGATCAGAGGACTCAATCATCCCCTGCTTCATCATCAGCAGACTGTTCTGGTTTCTTGTCTGTGTGTCTTTTATATTTCCAGCCAACAACCAATCCAGCAGCAGCTAAACAAACCAAAACAACAAAAGCTGCTCCCAGTCCAACATATTTACGAGTGTAGTTTCTGTAGTAAAGACTGTAGTTTCCCACCTCGACGTCTCCGCTGTTGGACCCTGAAGATCAAAGTGCATATTAGTCAGGAAATGAGTGAACAGTGGAACAGCCTCCATTTGCTCTTCTATATCTTCTATATTCCTCATGTTTGACTCTCAGAATCAACATGGAATAAAGTGCAGCTACAACATGGCACACAGACCTCCACAAACTCACCTGAAACCTCCAACTGGTAGATTCTGATTGGTGGAGTCTCAATGTTGATTCTCTTGAGTCTTGAACCTCCTGTTGCAACTCGACACTCGTATGTTCCAGCGTCGTTGCTGCTCACGTTCTTCAGAATTAAAGACACGTCTCCGTCCTTCAGCTCTCTGTCCACCAGCTGCACCCGGTCCTTAAAGGATGGATGCTGGTGGGTTGGATCTGAGAGTCCATCTCTGTAAAAGAGGACGTAGTCTGGCTCCAGGTCAGGTCTGCTCCACTCTACAGCTCTGATGAAGACATCTCCAGCCTGACATGGCAGAGTGACATCATCTCCAGGTTTCACTCGTACAACATCTAAAAACAATAAAAACATCCAGAGAGAAAAAGTAATTACATTTCAAAAGGACTCCACAGGACGATACAGTGAGAACATCTTTGTTTAAACAGAAGGCCTCTTCACACCTGAGATCATGGGAACATTCAATAATTAGTCACAACTGAGGAGAAATTACATCGTGGTCATGTCTCTCTAGCAACCAGGAAACATGTGACATGTGACAGTCGAGTGGAGACTCTGCTCAGGAGACAATCTGTGTCTGAATTACAGTAGACCGTCATAGGGTGTAGTCACAGATTCTTAGGAAATTTGACACTTTAAAAACAGCTTTCTTTTAAAGCTTTTTGTTTTGTGTGGGGCTGTAAATAAAGAGATTATCTTACAAACTAATGCTGGGTGATATGGCATATAAATAATATCCCAATATACACATATTGTCTAAAATAACAAACTGTTTGTTCTCAAATCGTGTAAACATGATCATCTTATAGACCATGATGCATTGCTGTAGATTAAACAACCAACAGATTATAAAATAAAATGCAACATTCACTTTAATGCAGCAGAATATTAATCCAGAAACGTCAGATAGTGAAACACTGACAGGAACATTTTACTGCCCTATGAGTGTTGTTGCTATAATACTTTCATACTTTGACTGTAGCATCTCTACCTGTGGTGTCCCCACGTTCTATGAGGGTTAAGCTGTGGTTTTAGCAATCATGTTACATTTAGGTTAAGGTTAGGATAAAGGGCTGAGGAATGCATTATGTCAATGAGATGTCTCCACGTGGACAGAGGAAGAAACCGTGTGTGAAATAGTCCAGCAGGTTTGTTGTGAAAGAAAGTCTTTCCTGGTAGTGAGGGGTTATTTTTATATGGTAAATATTACATTCATAAGTGCAAATGCTCTAAAAAGAAAACACAATGAGGCGTATCACATTTCAGATAGAAACCAAACATTATATTGAAGCACTATATGGTCTGAAGAATAGTTAAGTACATAAAACAGTAAACTTTGTTTAAAGTTGTGTCATTTTCTATTATTCTGTCATTTTATGCTCTTTAGTTCTGGCTGAAGATCTTTGTAAGAGATGAATTCAACATTCAATAAAGAAGAGGACAATAAGAAAGAAGCACTTTTCCTTAGCTTTTGTAGAATTCAACCAGCTCTTGTCAAAGCTTCCTCTTAATACTTAGAAACCATTCAGAGTGAACACATCAAAGCAGAGACATTTCCCTTTCTACTCCTTTTCACAGCAGCTACACATCAGGCTCGAGTCATTAAAACAGTATAAAACCAGAGAGATAATCAACACGTTTCAGAGCACAAAGCTGCAGAAGAGAAAGGACAGTGATCAGATGTTTGACCGCATTTTCTCTTGGGGTTTTCTCCTCCCCCCACAGCAAAAACACCTAAAGTATCATAGTGACTTTTAGCTGCTAAGCTGACGTTATCTTGTCACCGCTGTTCAACCTCATCAGCAGCGACCAGTGGAACCACTGAAACTCGACCATGACGATATGCTAAATAGCACACTAACTAATGTGTAATATATTCAACATGTCGCCCAGCCCTGTTACAAACACATGAACATTTTCTGCAACAAGATGACATTATGTTATAACACTTATTAAAAGTCTTTCCTGCCTACATGCATCTATTCACAATAAAAGCTCGTCTTTACCAGAAGCTGCTGGAGACAGAAGGGTCAACAGGAATACAAACTTATCCATGAGAGAGGAGGACATGTCCTTCTGTCACTCTGCTCTGTCTGTGCTGCACAAGTATAAACTATGTGATGTTACCCTGAGTCAGTCAATCGCTGCCTAGCAACTGTCTGTGCAGGAAGTGGTTGACTGTCATGAAAGTCATAACACTTCCAGGAACACATATAGCCTTGTGTTTCCCCTCTTTCTGATATTTTTGCATCTTTGTCACACTAAAAAGTTTCAGATCATCAAACAAAAGGAAATATTAGACAAAGATAACACAAGTAAACACAAAACGCAGTTTTTAAATGAGAGTTTTTATTATTAAGGGGAAAAAACTTGCATGGCCCTGTGTGAAAAAGTTATTCCCCCCATGTTAAAGTCAGAATCCATGACTCCACCATAAAAACATGTTGAGTCTTTTAGTCTCAACTGGTATTTTATACTTTTTTTAACAAACCATACTCAACAGGTCAGAGTAAACAATGCTCTCTCTGAGCCAGATTGGCCTTATGCACAAGGACAGAAGTCCAGCAGCTTATAGTACAGGAACCCAGGAATGTGTCCAGTGGTGTGAAAACAACCATCTGTGTGCTAAATGTGACCAAGACTGAGGAGATGGTGTTTGACCCAAAGGCTGCAGGTGACCCCGGGCCTGTAGTTATCAACTGCGTACCCATCACTCAGGTTTACATACTGACAATGCACTCAGCTGGGAGGCCCACGTTGATAGTCTCTGCTCCAGACTTCAACAGAGTAAGGTGTTAACCTGACAGTCCCAATCCCAGGTCACCCATCAGGTACAGACAGCTGTGAAGATTATGGGGGTCAAAAACTGTAGGAGCCATACACTGGGTTTGTTTGGGTTTTTATTGGGTTTCCTCTGTTTTCTTTGCGCTGTAGTGTACATGCACGCGCATCGTGACGTCATCAGTTACTGTGGGTGTGACCGGGGGCGTGGTGTCTGTATTAATGTGTGTGTGCTCACCTGTGAGGAAGCTTGGGTTGATCATGGCTGCAGGGTGAGCATGGGGAAGAACTTTCTGTTGACCGTTACCATCGTCGTCATCATTACTTTCACTGATGTCTCTGAGGTACCTTTTGCACTGCTTACAACATGCATCACTCAAAGTAAGTGATTGGTTTTCTATGTATGTGAAATAGCGTAATAAAGAGACTCAATATGTACGATGGTTCAGCGTGACGCGTCTTCAGTGTAAATCCTCATGTTTCAGCCTGCTGTGGCGTTTTAGTTGTTTTGGTGGGTCTGGTCTGTTTGTTTTACTGGTATACGCCGCAATAAAAACTATTACTATCTGACTTCTGACCTCAAAGAGCTCCAGATGCATGATGGTGTATGACGCTGAAAGTGAACGAAAAACATCTCTAACTGTGACAAACTGATGTTTCTTTGTCAAGTGTGCACACAGTTAAACCTTCAGCAGGACTTTGGTGTTAATTTTGGCCGTTAATGAAAACAAGTGACATAAATGTACGTTACTCGTTAACTGTGTAGCTGTCTAGCTGCATCAGTCGGTAATCCTCATAAGTCAGTCCCTTTCCTTTATTGTATTATTTATAAATATATATGTTTTTTGTTCTTGTTGCATGTAATAGGTTTTCAAAGTGAAAATGCACAAAGTCTACCGAGAGCTCCAGAGTGCGACTAATTTGGTCACATGTGCCTAAAAATCTGTTGAGTATGACTACGATTATGATCCAGAGAGCAATGCGATTTTTTCTACACAGGATTTCTGGATAATTACTAAGCATTTGATGTGCACATTATAATCCTAAAGAAACCTCATTAGCTTGAAAGTTGTTGCTTGCATCCCTAATTTCAGGATGTTCAGTATGTGTACATTACAGAGTTGTTTAGTCTAAGCTTGTATTCGCTTGGCTCCACTGGGTTTCTCTGCGCTCCTCACCTGAACAGACAGACAGACAGACACACCCAGAGTAAACACCAGGCTCTGGGTAATAACCACTCATTTTCTTTATAGGATAGATAAACCTTAAAATATATTTTGTATACATTATTGAAAGATAAATGTTTTTATTTTTGTGCTGTTTGCTTTCTGGACACCAGTGAGTGAACACTGTAATCAATTTCATTGTTGTAGTGTATGTTCAAGTTCAGTGAAGGTGTGTGTGACTTTTTTTAAATACTTCTGATATGATTGAAAACGTTCAGAGATGCAGGAGTGAAGGTGGATGTCCAGAGGTTTTGTTGAAGAGTCAGACTGTGTTTGAGCGCCACCTGCTGCTCATGAAGCAGACAGACCAATAAAGATGAAGAATAAAGAGAACAGAGCTGCTGTTCCTCCATCTTCTGCTCTTTCCTTCTTTGTTTACTGTCTGGATGTTGCTGGGCTCTGGTTTGGCTGCTGCTATTCATAATTATTGAACTTTAGATCTGTTTCGGAAGCTGCTGCTGTTTGTCACTTTCCTCGTGTTACACAGAGACACCTTCTCACCTGTAGTGTGACATCATCAGATGTCACACTCACTCATCACCTGAAGGGAAACAAACTTGATAGTTTAGTTTGTTTTTCTCTTTTGGTTCAGGGTTAGAAACGTGAGCAACAATAACCATATATATATATATATATATATATATATATATATATATATATGTCCACTGCTGCAGTCGACAGCGGTGACACTGACACAGGCTTCATGATTGCACTTAGTAAGTAAATTCATTTTCGGGGACATGGATGTCACCAATGTTTTTTTAAGACATACTTTATTAATTCCTCTAGGGGAAATTACATTCTTAAACACTGTTGTTGTTCCGAAAAAAAACAGAGACAAACAGGACCTACATGCATTAATAAGGACGGATGTGAGAGTGAGGGCAACAGTCTTTACTTTTATACTACTGAGCCTATTTAAATACTTGTGTAGTACACCTAGTACTGACAATGTATTGATCAGTTTGTTACTGCAGTAGAGCTCATAATATAAATCATCATCATCATCATAGGAGTTATTTGGCAGATGGAGGAGAGTGTGAACTGTGTTGCTGTTTCTGTTCCCTGATGCTGGTTACTGCTGGACGGCAGGTTTATCCTCAGCAGGCTTCTGCTTCATCCTGTCAGTGAAATCACAGCTGCACCACAAGGAGGAGCCTCCTCACACTGAAGTTCACAGAG